GACAGACAAACGGATAGATACAATGCAAAACTTCGTGCGTAAGTACATCAGTTCAGATTGCCATACCGCATAAGCATAGAGACGCAACTGTCATTTCAAATCATACAGTGGTCGTGATAGCAGAAGTATTAGCAGTAATGGAGAAGATTAGGGTTCGAAGATATGATCCAGGAAGTATAATTCAGTGAGATACATTTAGAAATAGAAAGAAAGAAATGATGAGGAATTCTGAAGGTTAGATATAATTACAGAGGACACAAACAGTGGATGCACCTGCGCCATTGCAAACGATTCTAAACCATATCATTCAAGGTCTCTAACCATAGGTGACTTTCGTCTCACGGACTCCAACCAGGTAGTCTGCATCTCCCAAAATGACTTAGTCCACTTGTCAGTGACTTCATAGATTTCTGCCATGTTTTGGTCTGGCTGCCTCTAGCTTTCTTCCAACCTACTCCTACACCACAAAACATAGCTCGACAAGGCAGTCGGTGGTTAGGCATACGTAACACATATCCCAACCACCTCAAGTGATGAAGTTTCATCACTTCATCTATTGATTTTCCATCCCTACCTAGTACTCGTTTCCTAATGACAGCATTGCTTATACGGTTGTCCCAGGGTATATAAGCAATGCTTCAGAGACACCGATGATCGGGGACAAGCAATACACGAATGTCCTCTTATCTCACCGTCCATGTTTCACATCTGTATCGTAGGACGGAGTGAACTGCTTCACAGTACAATCGCCCTTTGCTTAGCAAACGGATATCTCGTCTGCTCCATAAGTAATCCAAGTTGGTAAAAGCCAACCGAGGTTTTTGTATCCGTACTGAGATCTCGTGTCAGTCACCAGGCCATTAACACTGATGAGACTCCCATAAAGCAGATATTATAATAAGTGAAAGGGAGAGGCAGGACTAAACATAAATCAAGAGGGCTACTGATAAACAAATGCAAATAACTGTATAGTCGATAGGTTCTGAAATGAGTAGCGGTAAGAATAGTTACAGTACGGGAGGAAAACAAGACGAGTCTAGGTGAAGTTCAGAAGAAGAAGTATATATGAAAGCTTCGTTGATGGAATGAATGTTCCGTTGTGATTTAAAGCTTCACAGAAGTATATAAACTATTTTATTTACTCATTTGTATCTAGATTTTTCAAAATTCAAACATTCTAATTATTATTAAGCTTTTAAAATAACCTTTTCTTTGAATAGTCGGGAAAAAAAAATTGAATAAAATGATTGACATATCTTCTACATTGGAATTCTGAATTATCGATTATCTCATTCATAAATAAATAATGTCTTCATAATAAATTGGCAAGTATCTGCCATAAATAACTGAAATTTTTTGATCCTTTTAAATGATATTTTTGCAGAAATATTCATATGACCCAATTCATTTTGCCAAACATTGCTATTCTGCACAATTTATTACGAGCATGTAGTACATACATTTTCATATGTATGTATAACTGAATCGAACTTTGTATTTAATGGCTAATACACCACGATAATCCTGTAGACTAACTAACTAACTAACTAACTGTACCTATCATCTTGTAACAATCAATGCCTGACACTAAGAAAACAAATTTGGTCAATTACTTAGTCTGCTGCTATTCAGTTGTTATACACTACTATCATTGTGAGTTGTAAATCTTCACATTGAATTCATTACAGTTCAAGGGCGAATCAATCGATATTGATGTGAATGATGAATAATGTAGTGGTTTTATTCACTTCGAGTGTAAGGATGTTTGTTATACATTGAGATATGTAAATACTGTTCTTTATGTATGTTAGTCTATTCAATAATGACTGACAATATAATCAGGTTTCTTTCCGTGTTCCTCTCTTTGTGTGTGTGTCTGTGTGTGTTAATGTGCTTAGATTGTTGTTAGTACATCAATCAAATTTGACAAGAGCGATCAACTAGAGAGAGAATAAAATAGAAGATATTCCAACGGCAACCACCAAAAAGGATAATTGTATTATTGAAGTGGAAATGTATTTTTATGTAATAAAAAAAAATGTCAGATTTAGAAATAAATACTAAAAGTAACTAACATTCATCTGTAAAACTTGTCATATTGTCATGACAAAACTAAGAAAAATATTCATTCACTATGTAAATACACTAGAAACCAGTTTCTTTCTTAATGACAAACAAGTTTGTTAGGTCAACAAAAAGTAAATGGCTGAGGTCGCGCAAAATCCCTAGATTGATCAGAGTTAGACATTAACACCGTTGGATGCCGGCCTAATGGTTCAGAGGTTAGGCGTTTGCGTGCAAGACTGAAAGTCCTGGGTTCAAATTTTGCGAGTAACAGGAGTCGTGGATGCGGATTACTGATTTCGTTCCATACCAGAATGAAACGGCCATCGAGTGCTTCCAGGTTTCTAATGGTGGTCTAACAATGATTGATTGATGATTTCAGTGTGTAAAAAGTTAAATCGAATATTTTTGTGGCACAAATAATACACATGAGTATATTTTACAGTTTGAAGGTGAACTGAAATGGAAGATTGAAACATAACCAATAAAGATATGCATAGATTTTAAGTATTAAATCAAAAATATTTTTGAAAAATCACTCACATACGATAGAAACTTCGAAGTAAATGTGTCAGAGTTAAGAAGTAATGATATGTTGATTGATGGATGATGATATACGGTTTCATCGTCAAAGGTAGTTGTAACATGTATTACTCATGATTCATCACTCCTTTTACAGACGTGAACTAATGGATGACATAAATTAGGCTGAAGGAAAGCTAGGAACTGTTGGGAGATAAATAAGGTAAGTAGTCATTGACTGCTAAGTTCGGTTGTGCTAAGGATCTATAAGAGAGTTGCAATCTGTGGTTAGAGACATTATGTGACATGACTCGAGATCAAACTAATTCTGTATTTTCCTTTCAATTTGTGGTTTAATGTGATTTGCAAACACTTTGTTCTCGAGTACCATCCGTCACTTTTTGATTCTTATGTTTAGTTTTCTCTGCAATTGATATTATTTCCGATCATATAGTACTAATGTAATAATTGATTTCCTGTATATTCGGGATAATGTAAGAGGTATTACTACTTGAACTAAAATGCAATTGTAGCATGTATTGTATTCTATTGAAAGTAATTATTACAAATTAAATTAAATTTACAGTACAGCAATAGGCTGAATCGGACTTTCAAATTACTGGGTGTAAAAATTCTCATGCAATGAAAGTATTTGAACACTACATGCAGCATTTTTAATTGATATCACGAACTGATAGGAGCTAGATAACCATTAAAAATCTGTAAGAACTGGACGGCCATCTTGTTTGAGTAATAAATAGACTCTCGAATAGTGCACATTTAAGACCTCACAACCGTAATTAGAACTTAGTATCTTTGGTTTCACGTGTGGATGTTCGACCTTTAAGACGATATCTAATGATGTACTCAAGTCTACCTTCAATTAATCGTTGGTATCTTTCATTGTTTACAACAGGCACTTTCCTCATACTTAACGCGGTTGAACTACTCACAATTATCATGTGCTCACTAGTGACTAGCTTCGACAAGGAATTTCCGGTGAAAAGACGTGACCAGTGGAGCTAATTCCTGTTGAGTGTGAGGCAGTCACCCACCGAAGACAATCGAAGAAGACTACACAGTATCGTGGTCGATTGATCGAAGTTAGACATTAACACTGTTGGATAGTGGCTCATTGGTCTACAGGTTAAGCGTTCACGTGCTAGACCAAAGGTTGTGAGAGCGTGTATGAGCACCGCCTAGGAGTTACATACTAGGATGAGACGACCTTCTAGTGCTGTCAAATATTGTGGAACTTAGATCAGTTCAGAATTTCAATAAAATTCAACAATCTCCAAAATCCCATATAATTACATTTCATTTGACTTAGTTATCATAAAGAATCAGTGAACGAAGTCACATGCAATGAAATCATTCAAAAAAAATAAACTTAAAAAGTACATATTTATTTAAATAAGTAGTAAGTGATGACCTTATGATCTCATTGTAAATAACAATTATTACAGTGATAGCAAAAAAACACCTTTTATTTATTAGTTGAGAAAATAAATAAAAAAACTGATATTTGGTACGTCTGGGTCACCACAGATTATCTAAATATTTGCTATTAGATAATAATATCTTTTAAAAATATTTTTAAAGATTTTAGTTCATTTATTTTCTTGTTATTTTAGCCCCAGAAATTTTTGTTTCTCACTTAGTTCAATGGTCGGCTTAAGTATTTTATTTTTTTTTGGCAAAGGGTAACAAACAACACAGTAACTCCAGAACTATTGAAGTCTAAAATAAACCAGACAGTTATGTTTTGTTTTAGTCTGGAACTGCTTAGCAGTGAGGTTTTTGAAACCATACGATAGATAAAATTTAGAGTCTTCAAACCTTGTAGCAAATGTTCAACCTTTAGACTACTTACTCTTATTTGAAACCAGATTTGAATCTTTGATGCAACCAGTTCAACAACTATCGGTCCACAATCAAAAGCTTTACCTAATAAAGTGTTCCCATAGTGTGATTTCAAGTCAGCTACACATTATTTTGAACAGAACTGGAAAGGGAAGCCTAGGACAGAGTTGGTTGAAGATAACTAGTCGGCGGTCTATGTTCCATTCGGGGTAACAGGTATAAGTAAGTAAGTAAGTACACATTATTTCACAGTCAATGTAATTTACATTATCTCTTCAATTTTTTTTTTTTTGTGTCTAAACAAACAGAAAATCTACAATATCAACCTATTTACAATGGTAATCATAAAATGAAATCTATTACTGTACAGTAATTCAAATATCAGAAAGATATATAAAAAAAACAAAAACAAAACGAAATGCAACGCGTATGCAAAAAAGTTTTTGTCAGCGTTATAAGCATCAATAAGAAAATAGAATTTTCATCATATGGAAATTTTTAACAAAAAAAAACACAACATGTTTTTATAGTTTATTGAGAAACAAAAAACAAAACAATGGTAGTGTAAATATACATAAACATAAGATTTACAATGGCAAACAGTAACTATTAGGTAATAATAATAATAATAAGTGTGGGGGCTAGAATACTGAGGATTGACGGGAGGCGATGGGGGCAGTAGTTGAAAGAAAATGCAATAAATTACAGTGTATTACGTTGTTTTGTTGTTGTTGTTGTTGTAGGGAATTCGTTCTACTTATTGAGTATTTCAATGATTATTATCCTACGCCTCATCATCATCATCATCACTGATGAAAAAAGTCGGACGATCATTACTGTTATTGTCATTATTATGACTATTATTGTTGTTATCGTAATCACCATATTGTCTATTAGATTGTATTTCATAAGCAGTAAATGAATTGTCATCATGAGAAATCGATTCTGATGCATGTTGATGATATTCTGTATAATTGAGTTGATTATTACAACGATTCACTTGTTCATTATCATTAGTCTCATCTACATCATGATCGATATTCTGTGAAAACAATTAAGAAAATGAAAAATTGTTAAGATGATCACGCTGTAGAAAGTAATGGTAAATGTTTTTTTTGATAATTAAGCTTTGTGATATTGTTGTTCGATTAGTTGAATCGGAAAAAAAAATTTATTCTTTATTTAATTTATATAAATTAACCGTCTATTGTCAAGGGCAATTTTACATTGGTTTTCAGGAGAACCAAGGAGATTGCCTATGTGTTAGCGCTTCGACATGAACAGTTCGGCTGAATTGCGTGGTGTAACCACACAGGTATCTGACACCCTGAAGATGGACCATTCATACCACTCATATGTACTAGTACATCGTGTTATGTTCGTCACTTGATAAGCTTGAAACTATTACGGGTTCACCTTAGCCGACAAACGAGGACGAGACAATGAACCAGTGTTCAGGTAGGCCTACTGTGATCCGATTGTCCCAATTTCACCAGCAAAGAAGTCTTGATATGGCGTAGAAAGTGTATTCTACAAACACCCAGCAAGCACAATGCATCCAAGCACACAAACCGCGTTTATTTAGACACCAGAGAAACGTTCCTAGGGAAAGTCACAAAAATAGTACACCAAAATAACACAGTGGCCAATCACAACCAAGGATTTTCCTGGTGGGAAATTTGATCTCAAGATCAACTGATCAGTGCATGCTCGGAAACATAAAATCTAAAATTAAGGCATTTATCAAGTGAGTTCTGGGGATCTAACGTCCCCAGCACATATATAGTAATTATTTCCTATCCACCATGATCGCGTCAATCAATATGCACCGGATGAACAGGCCAATTTATGACCGATTCCGCTAACATGACTGTCAAACTCATTATTATTAACAATAATGATATGCAGCAATACAGCAACCCCAATGACAATGGCCCCTGGGAATGTTGCGAAAAAACCAACAGTAGTATCAATGAAATCAGTCAGCCTGCTAACCAATTTTGTATATGAAATGAACTGTTAGCAATACTTGCCAAAGCAATGCCAAGCCATCCACACCGTCTCATAGGAAACCTTCAGTTCTACATAGCAGTTTAACATATGGTATACACATGGTATGTATGTCATAGGATAGCAAGAAATGCAGCCCAACTTGATGCAAATAGGCTCAAACACTCTTATTACTCTCTTTGTCACATGTCGGGTAATGATTTTTTTCACAATACCGAAATTTTCATTTTTCAATCATATGAGACTTGAGTTAGGAGTAATATCATTATCAGTTAACTTATAGAATTTTTTTAAAAATGAAGAATAAACTAGTTATGTGCCGATTAAGAAAATTTGTCAAGACACAGTGTGGCATATAAGTTGAATTTATAAAATATTTGTATAATTGATTTAATTTGACTGGATTGAAAGGAGAAAATTAATAATAAGATGATCGGTTAAGCAAAATTGAAATTTTGTGCATTTCAAACATAACTGTCATAATGAATGAATGTGATTAGATGGATGGAGAGAAAATGCAAGTGTATGTAGCTAACACAATAAGGAGAAATAACTAACAACTATTTATAAAAACTAATTAGTCTATATATCATTGAAATCATGAATCAATCATTAGAAACCTAGAAGCACTGGACAGTCGTTTAGTCTTTGTATGCAACGTATCAATTGTGCGCTTCCACGATGCCCACTCACGGGAATCGGACTCGGGACCTCCAGACTCGTGGGAGAACGCTTAACCTCTAAGCTACTGAGCCGACATCCAACGGTGTTAATATTTACATTTGATTAACTTAAGGTTTTCTGCAATTTCACCCATTGTCTTCGGTAGGTAACTGTCTAAACACTACAGGGTTGAACTCTACTTGTCACAGCTTCCAGGTTTTTAATGATGTCAGTCGCAATATGGAACTTCGTACGTATGTACATAAGTTCATGTTGCCATACCACATTAACACAGAGACGCAAATGTCAAATCAAATCTCATAGTGATAAAGATAGTAGAGGTATTAATGGCAGTGAAGGAGAGTAGGGTTCGGAGATATTATTCAAGAAGTATAATTCACTGAGATAAGTTTAGAAAGAGAAAGGTAAAGGTGTTTATGAATCCAGAAGATTAGGATTTGAGAGTGCTCAACGAATGGATGCACTTGCGCCATTGCAAACTGTTTTGAGCCATGTTGTTCAAGGTCTCTAACCATTGGTGACTTCCGTCTCGCGGACCCCAACCAGGTAGTCTACGTCTACCAACATGACTCAATCCACTTGTCAGTGACTTCATGGATTTCTGCCATGTTTTGGTCTAGCCGCCCCTAGCTTTCTACCAAACTACTCCTACACCGCAATACATAACTCGACGAATCAGTCGGTGGTAAGGCATACGTAACACATGTCCCAACCACCTCAACTGATGAAGTTTCAATGCTTCATCTATTTATCTGCCATCCCTACCTAGTACTTGTTTCATGACGACAGCATTGCTTACTCGGTTGTCCCACGATATACGATCAATGCTTCTAAGACATCTATGATCGAATACTAGCAACCTACGAACATCTTCCAATCTTAACGGCCATGTTTCGCATCCATGTAGGAGAACGGAGCGAACTGCTGCGCAGTACACCCGTCCTTCGCCTACGCCATAAACGGCGTAAATTGGCAAAAGCTAATCGGGCTTTCTGTATCCGCGCTGAGATTTCGTCAGTCACCAGGCTGTCAGCGCTGATGAGACTTACCCACATAAGTGAAGTGATCAATACGCTCGACTACTTCACTCCCTATCACTAGTTCAGGTGCCAATGGCCTAACAATGATTGATTCATGATTTCAGTAGGAAACAACTATCTCCACAAATATATTATATCATACACTCATACTTACATAAGACACAACGGTGATATCATTCTCATCAGTGCATAATTCACCGCCTTGATCAGTTAAACAACTATCATTGTCATCATCAACATCCACATCAACATCGGCGTCAATATCTTCATCAGCGTTAACATCTTCATCATCAGCGTCATCGTCATCATCGGAATCAGTTAATTGTAAATCTTTTGCAACTAAATCATCATTTAAATCAATTTGAGAATAATCTAATTGATTAGTATCATTTGTAATGGTTATTGGTATATCGGAAATACCAGAAGAGAACTAAATGTGTTTCGAAAAAAAAACGCAAAGAAACGAAAATAACATCAATAATAATAATAATAAACATGAGATTGTTAACATTTACAACAAATTTAATCAGAATTTGGAAAAAAGGATACTTCTATTGGAATTTCATAGTTTGTATATGTTCGCGCAGGGTTTTGGAGGTTTGTGTTTTTACACATTTGAAATCATCAATCAATCATTGTTGTTAGACCACCATTAGAAACCAGAAAGCACTGGACGGCCGTCAAGTCCTGCCTGGTATGGAACTCATCAGCAGTGCGCATCCACGACTCCTGCACCTCGCAGGATTCGAACCCGGAACCTTCGGTATTGTGCGCGAATGCCTAACCATCGGACCACTGGGCCGGCATCCGACGGTGTTAATGTCTAACTTTGATTGATCTACGGACCAATGGAGTTCAACCCTGTCGGGTGTAGGCAGTAACTACCAAAGACAATTGAAAGTGATAAACGTCATTTACATGGTAAATTATGTAATTCTGTGAAATCAGTGATTATTAGTGTGTTTAATAGGAGATGATATGTAGTGTAAACCATTATTACACCGAGGATCGGATGTATGGTTTTCAGATGTTGCAGTGAGCCACTGACTTAAAGGAAATCTGAATCAGTACCCAATGGTTTACATATCTAACTTTATTAGATTCATGATATATTGTACAACCATTTTTTCAGCAGAAATCAAAAATGTGTGTGTGAACGATTGCATGCTAATTCACTGTTTTCAATGCTAAACAACCCCAACGAGACCAGAAAGTTCTATGTTTGCACGCCGGTTGGATCATATACATGCGTACTGAACAGCAGTCCCATAATTGGATGGAACAGCTAACCAATCCTTCTCACTTCGAATGTGTTTTTTAACTATAAGCTAGTTTTTGGTGTAAATAATGAGATTTAACAATCTCCACAATATGTTTATACTATTTATAAAACTATATTTTCAGGCAGAGTTTTGGAGGTTTGTGTTTTTACACATTTGAAATCATCAATCAATCATTGTTATTAGACCAACATTAGAAACCTGGAAACACTGAAGGACGGCCGTTTCGTCCTGGTATGGGACTAATCAGCAGTGCGCATCCACGACTCCTGCACCTCGCACGATTCGAACCCGGTACCTTCGGTATTGTGCGCGAACGCCTAACCATCGGACAACTGTGCCGGCATCCAACGATGTCTAACTCTGATTGATCTACGGATTTTGCGCGACCTCACCCATTTGTCGTTGGTAGTTACTGCCTACACCTGACACGGTTGAACTCCACTGGTCACGCATGTCTTCACAACTAGAACTCCGAGAATTTCCTCATGAAGCTAGTCACTAGTGAGCACATTGTACGATATCTTCAAGCAGAGTTATTATTTGCTGTATATATAATAAATAGGTGGAACCAGATTGTAATAATCAATAGAAGAATCAGGCATTTTAAACAAATACTTCACCTTATTTTACGGGCAGGTCAAATCGTTAATATCACAAGTAGAAGAAGTAGAAAAAGGAGATAGAGAGAGAGAGACAGAGAGAGGCAGATACAAACTTTCTATATGCACTATACACAAGGCAAACAGTATGGACATAATTCTGTGTACACATAGAATTGACGTAAGGTCATGATGATTAAGAAAAATCAATGTCTAAGGTCATCAAATATATATATATATATATGAAAAAACTATGATTTCTCCAAAGTGGGCGGTTTGGAACAAACACACAAAGCAACAGTCGTATGTTTATTTGTTTGTTTATATTGGTTGTATATAAGTTATTTAATGGAAGTTTTAGTGAATCCCAGGTGAAAAACATTTAGTGAGTGACCTTGACCTTATTTTTTAAAAATTAGTTATTGGTTATTGTCGTCATCATTAACATCATGTTATTTATTATTAGAAATTGTCTAGGGTTAATTTAAAGCATGAAACAAAAAGTGATAGCTTCAATGTTTTGAAGCATTTGGTTTTCAACTAATTTGGTGGAAGGTTCGAAACTCCATCTAAGTAACCAGTATTCAAAAACAAAAAAGCAGACTTAAAGTCTCGTGTCTATTAACTTGTACTTTTATGGCTGCGAAACATGGCTAGTCAGAGTAGGAGTTATTCGTAGGTTATAGGTTTTTGAAGATAGATGTCTCTGAAGCACTTCTCGTGTATCTGATTAAGCAATGCTGTTGTTAGGAAACGGGTGCTAGGTAATGATGGAAGATCAATAGATGAAGTAGTGAAACTTCATCAGTTAAGGTGGTTAGGACGTGTGTCATCAATGCCTAATCACCGACTGCCTCGTTGAGCTATGTCTTGCGATATAAGAATAGGTTGGAAGAAAGCTAGAGGCGGCCAAACCAAATCATGGCACAAATCTATGAAGTCGCTGACAACTAGATTGAGTCATGTTGGCAAGTGTCTACTGCATAGTTGGGGCCCGCGAGATAATAGTAATTGATGGTTAGAGAACCTGAATGATACGGTTCATAACCGTTTGCAATGGCACAGGTGCATTCGTTCTTATGTCAAATCGTAGATTTAAGAGTTCCTCATCACCTTTATCTTTTTATTTTAAGTTTATCTCACTAGATTCTACTTCTGGAATAATATCCTCGAATCATAATCTCTCCGACTACAGGTAATACTTATAGTACCTCTACTAGTATGTGATTTGAATTAACAATTACATCTCTGTTCTAATGTGGTATGGCAACATGAACTGATGTATGTACGTATGTGTGAAGTTCTACGTTGTAACTGACTGGCTGACTGGGAGTTGACTTACATGACCAAGGAAAAATGAAGGAATATACGAATAAATGGTATGGTGCATTGAAAAATTAATTTGACACTAGTGCATGTGTAAAAAGTTGTGCACATGTTAAGATCGGTGTCAATATAACATGTTTCTCAAAAATATAATACTAAGACTTCACTTATTGTTTGCCAATATGTAATAGAAAGTAAAAGTAAAAAAATTTCGACAGTTTTGATTTGCTCTAATCACTAGATTAAACTTAGTTAGTGGCTAGCTGCGCTGGAACCCAGGACGTGCGTTTCGTCTTATTTGTACCTGCATCTCAGAGTTCATATTCACTTGGAAACTCGAACACAATACCTAACGCTTCATACACCATTGCGTTATCTACTTAACTACTGAGAATCGGAATGAACATCAACTTTGAAAAGTAAGTAGGTAGTACTAACGAGTCCTAAAATAGGATGAAACGCGAGTTCTGAATTCCACTGCTAGTCATTATCCACTTCTGCTAATAATGCTTATAAACCTGAAAATAATATATATCGAAACAATCCACACAGCATGCACATATGCCACCACATCAGGCTGATTATTTAGAAATTATTGTCTTTCTGAACTGTATCGATCTACAATTTTTGATAGTAATCAACAAGAGATTATGCTAGTAGTTCATGTTCACCCACTATATGTACATTTGAAAATTTGAATTGTCAAATACGAATTGTCGAAATGATAACTAAATCATACATATATTGAATTAATGGCAGTCATAACAATGGGAGTAGACTATGCAGTTGTAATGATCTCCTTCTATCAGATTCATACGTACTAATTCATCCTCTTTCTCTTTTCTATAATCTCATTAATAAGGTTCTTTATCTTTGATATTTATAATGTTTGATTGAAGTAACGAATCGATCATTGTCAAAACACCATTAGAAACCTGGAAGCAGTGCACGACCATCCCGTCCTAGTGTCGGACTCATCAGCAGATGGCATCCAAGACCCCTTGATTGGTGGGAATCAAACCCAGGACCTTCGGTCTTGCATACGAACGCTTCACCTTCCGATCACTAAGCTGACTTTCAATGGTGTTAATGTTGATTTCCGTCATCAGAGGTCGTGTGTGTGCACTACTGATGAGTCCCAAAATGGGAAGAAACCGGCCGCCCAGTGATTCCAGGTTTCTGTTGGTAGTCCTAACAATGATCGATTCATTACTTCAATGAAACCTAACAATCTGCGTAGCCAGTTAATAAAAATTTTTTTAATATATATACATTTGTTTTCAAATATAATATATACGTGATTAGTCTTAATATTTTATTTAACCTCTTTAAGTATTTTACTAAAATGTAATTCAGTCAATAGGGAGTTAAGCTTTTCAATTGTAAAATCTATTAATAATCTTTAACAGTTTATATTACCGAAAATATACACACACACACACACAGATAAATAGACTCTGGTTCCTCTCTGTGAACTTCATCCTCCTTATTCATATTTGACAGTGAAGTGTTTTACCAATTATACTCTTGTATTATACTGATCGATAAAATAGACCAAATGATCAACATTTACAAATAAAGGAGTAAGTGGTTACAATATATATACATATTTGAAATCATGAATCGATTAATGTTAGACCGCCACCAGAAACCTGGAATCACTGGACGGCCGTTTCGTCCCGTTATGGGACGAAATCATCCACCACTCCTGCACCTCGCAGGATTCGAAAACAGGACTTTCGGTCTTGCGGGCGAACGCCTAACCTCTGGATCACTTAGGCAGTATCTAACAGTGTTAATGTCTAACTTCGATCAATTCACGGTCTTGCTCAACCTCATACACAGTTTTCGGTAGTTACTGTCTACACCCGAACAGGGGTTGAACTTCACTAATCACGACTTCCCACAAGAACTTGAAGAAGATTCCTCACTAGTGAGCATAGGTAATTAATTGCATTACGGGGTTGTGAAACACAAATTTAGAAAAAAAATGTATAGAAAAAACACTATCTTCATATACAATGAACAGAATTAAAGAATCTTCTTACTATTTTCTTCCTTTAAGCAGATTAAAATATATATGATTAAACTAGCTATTGAACACAACACTTCAAAGAATAAAACTAAAATCTTATTTGTATCTTCATAAAAACAAAATATAATATATAAATAATAAGACAAGAAAATTTAGTTTATGAAAGATCAAGTTCATGAGAACATCGTCTTTTGTTGTGTTTTATTTTTGTTGCATACAAGATAACAAAACAATCATCCGATGTACTAATATCTTTCTCTCTCTCTCTCTCTCTCTATGCGGTAATAATAATAATACTAATACTACTAATAATAATAATAATAATAACCCATATTAAAGTTACACATCTACGCAATATAATAACACAACAAAGAATCAACCAAAACAGATCACTTATCCATAAATAATAAGAAAGGTCATATTAACGACCCAATGATAATAATAATAATAATAATAATAATAATAATAATAATAATAATAATAACGATGATTGTTATCTGATCGTGAATATAATACACAACAATCATAAACAACCAGTGAAAATATGGTCGGATGTGTGAGTGAATAGAAATAAATTATACGATAAGGCATAAACTTTTTACCACTACTACTACTACTACTACTACTATTACTACGACTACAACTATTGATCTGAGATAATAGACAATCACTGATAGATTCATTATTGATTATTGTCAGAACCATTTTTGTTTATTGATTAACTAATTAACTAATTGATTAATTGGTGTATGTACTTTAAACTAAAAAGAAATAAAAACAACATGATCATATGTATTACAGGGGTTGTGAAGATTGTGAAGTTACTACATTTGAAATCATGAATCGAGGTTAGGCGTTCGCGCGCAAGACCGAGTGTCCTCGGTTCGAATCCTGCGAGTTGCAGGAGTCGTGAATGCGCACTGTGCTGATGAGTAGTCCCATACCAGGATGAAACGCCCGTCTTTCAGTGCTTCCAGGTTTTAATGGTAGTCTAACTTCGATCGATTCATGATTTCAAATGAAAATATGTATCTGCAGATTTTGAACTGAACTAATTGTTGGGATATAGAAAGAAAAACATCATTACGATTTTACAAAATTTTGTCACTGAATTATAGATAGAAGATGATTGGAAAGAGAAATGTAACTAGTAAGAGAAAAAGGTCGAACTGACTACGAATGTCATGTTTTCTCTGAATAACTGATCTATTTGCTTCTGACAAATTTTATTATACTTTCTTGTCTGGTACATCTTTGTTACGTTTTCAATCTGAGATACTGGTTCATATTTATCATTGCATAATGTGCATTATGCTACGAGAAGGTGATTCTACATACCGAACTGAGAGCATATGCGATATAGCCTGTTTTTCTTATCGTGAGCTATTTATATTACTTATTAATTGTTAGTAGTCTGGACTGTTTGCAAACATTTTAGTGATTGATAAGTGAAGTTGTAAACATTTATCTAATCTAGTTTTGATTCTAATTTCGATAGTTCAGTTGGGATTTCTTTTTTTTTTACTTGAGATTGTATTTCGTCTTTTATTATTCAATGAATTGGTAATTTAAACCTTTTATAAGCTTGAAAAGTTCATCCATTTCCGAAACAGAACTCAATATAATACCGTTAAACTCATCCTGGTTGAAATAATAGTAATATTTGCTGTTTTACAATAGTACACATACTAGTTTACAGCTTGAAGTTTCTATGATTGCAAAGAGTATAATACAAACATGACTTGAACAAGAATCTTGAAATCTTTATGAGAAACTAGGAGATTGAATTAAAACTTGCATGAATCTCATCAAATAAAAATGTTCTGAAGTTATAGTTATCAACATCTTTTAATTTATAATTTTTAAGTATGTGTCCTATATCCCTTCTTAAGTGAATACATATCGCGTATCATGACACAAAACAAAACCTCAGAAATACAAATCTCTACTCATTAGGATATGACTAGAATTATTATAATCATTTCGTTAATGGTAACCTTTCACCTAATGCTCAATTTCTTTGCGACTATTAAGTTCAGCTTTGATACTGATAATTAGAATTGTAAATGAAAATGTAACCAATAACCTTACTTAAACCAAAGATAAATATGATATATATGAATGAAACGATTAATGGAACCAATGTTAAGTGTAGAGTGAAATAGAAGACAGTCTTCACAGAGAATGTAAACATGAGGCAAAAAGGATCTTACAAAGAATAAGTCAGTTTATTAGATTATATTCTATGGGCAAAGAAATAACACAAAGTAAATTAATGACGGAGGATTTTGGTTTTCCACAATAGGACGGCTCAAAGGAGCCTCACAAGGCTCCCAAGGGACCGAAGCACTTTCATCTAATCACAGCCCGATAAAATTTCTAGGATGTCGATGTGGCACAGGCTGATTGGATGATGAAGTGACATAGCCGACTGAGGATCGGAAGATTGTATATGCTGTTTCCACTGCATACACAAAACTATAAATACACAGGATTTCTCTGCGCATTTTTAACATTTTATAAAGATATTTTTGTCTCTTCCGTGTTTTTTCCCGACCTGGAGGCGGTTCTACTTGTCCTGGTGACAAAGATTGAATTGTATATTAGTTGCTCTAGAAGCAGACATAACAGATTGCACGGTTTGGGAATCTTCGCACAGTAAGACAATATCATCCTCATGCTCAAGGTCAAAGTCTTTTCCCTAGTAAAAGAGATCCACATCACCACTACACATAACCATAAAAACTGTTTCCAGAACGTCATCGATAGCGAAATTGAAGAGGAATGGTGAGATTGGGCAAATCTGCTCAACCTCACAGCTTGAATGAAACAATAGAGGTGGTTTTGTGCCCTCAATCTGTCTGGAGTGCTTGTATACAAGGCCTTTAGGATGTTAATAAACTTTTCAGGTACACCTTTCTTCAATAGACAATCCCAGAGAACGGTCCTATTCAAAGAATCGAAGGCGATCCTAATGTTAAGAAACAACGATAATTGGTTGTGTTCTAACATTTGGCGGAGGGCGAGGACATGATCAACATGTTCTCGACCAGAAAGAAAACCAGCCTGCTATTCGTGGCTTATATTCTCCTAACTTGGTTGACTTCATAGATGAAAGATTCCCACTGTAAACTCTAAGAATCCTATTCCAAAGTTAGACAATCATATGAATGAATGTCCGTGAAAACAAATCAAACAACAAAGCACATTGAGATCAGTAAAAAAAAAAAACAAACGGAATTTTCTTACCCGAGTTTCTTCATCAATATAAGTAGGAAATTTATCTTGTTGAGAACGGAATTCCATCATACTATCGTCATTTTCAACATCATCATCAGCATCAGCATCATCATCGTCAACATTGATTGTACTTGTGCATTGATTCCAATCATTTGTTTGTTCACGATTAGAATCTAAGGAATTATCCACGTTATAACTATCATCATAATTATCAAGATGTTGATTATTTTCACCAGTATAATGTTCCAATAGATGTTCATCTTGCATTGCATGTTCACTTACAGAAGAAGAACTATGTTCACTTAGATTGGATACAATTTGTCTTAAGTGATCATTTGTTGGATGACTAGGACGACCAGTAGTAGTAGTAGTAGTAGTAATAGTTGTTGATGCCTCTTGATAATTCCAATCGAATGAATTCTCATCATGTACAGTAGTCACATTATGTCGCATATAATCTATTAAGAAATATTTTAAATAAGTTTAAATGTGATGTCATTATCTACCACAGTGAATCTATAGAAAATATTGATACTTGAATGCAACAATAATAATGATCGAAGAATAATGAAAGGAAAGTGGAAGCCGTTTAAAGTCGGGGACCTGGTAAAATGTAGAGAACGGAAAGGCACCGCGTAGCATGGGGACAAGGATCAGAGAAGCTGCTCCAGGAAACGGGAAAGACCGTACATTGTTATTGAGAGACGTGGCTCTGTTTACACGATACGGAGAGGGGACAACCAAAAACGCGTGAATGCTTGTCAGCTGCAGAGATGGTGGTTTCAAGGACAGAATGAGTGCGAATCGTAAATGGTAATCAAGAAAACGGGGCCACGGCGATCGGAAAGACTGCGAAAACAACTTATTAATAGGGGGGACGAGTTTAAATACTTAGGAAAAGATGAGAAAGGAATCATTAGTTTCAGTAAGCACAGTAGTTTTAAATGATTTATTCGTATATTAAACTCATGCTTCAATGACAATATCATGAGACTTTGAATGTATCAACACATTTTTCTGTGTACAGTCATCTGTTATGATTCTGTTTTTTTTTAATCAACCACTCATACTCTGTAGAAAACAAGCAAGCACCATAGGTGACGCAGTTTGGCAAAAGCCAACCGAGGTTTTTGTATCCGTGCTGAGATTTCGTCAGTCACGAGGCCATCAGCACTGATGACTCTCCAGATACATGGAGCGGTCTACACGTTCGACTACTTCACTCCCTGTCACTGGTTCAGATGAAGTCGCGAGCCAATCCTGAAGCAACATTTTGCAATTCGAGGGGGAAAACCGCATCCCGAACATGCTTGCATTGTTGCTTAGGGTAGTCAGAAGACTCTGCATTTTGCCAGCGTCTTCAAAGAATAGAATTATGTCATCGGAATATTCTAGGTCATTAAGCGATTTTCCTGGTAGAAAGTCCAGACCTGAAAAGTCGGACAAAGATAATGCGAGGAGACCCATGTTGGAACTAAACAGCCAACTAGTGTCCATTGGTTTTTAATGGTACTTCATTCATGACGAATGAAACCTGCCAGTTAAACCTATATCCACACACAGTGCATTCAACTGACCCATACAAACTAACCAGATGTTGACTGTGATAGCTGATAATTCTATGTGTTTTTTTAATGTCTATTCAATATTTACTCATTTGTCTTGTGTAGTCTTAACTTTTGAACATCAAACAACCTTGAATAAGTGTTTCGTGCCAGTTCGAGACTGCTGCTAGAATGCAATGGATTGTACATACAGTTGAGGAGTCATAAACAAGGATGAAACAATAATGTAGCTCTTCAATGGAAAATATGTAAATAGAAAACGATAAGAACTATTTTTAAAGGTATAAACTTATGAAGCTGTCGTGTATTCCACAATAATTTGATGAATCAGTATAGCATAGCGAGGCATTACTTGGATTATCCAAAAAAATTAAGATGGGGGATGTTAGATCCCCAGAACTTGCTTGATGAATATCCTTATTTTGGATTTATTTCATGGATCGATCAGTTGACCTTGAGATCACATTTCCCACCAGGAAAATCATTGGCTGTGATTGGTTACTGTGTCATTTTAGTAAGCTATTTTTGTGACTGTCCCAAGGATGTCTCTATCTTAGTGTACTATTTTTGTGACTTTCCCTAGGACCGTTTCTCTGGTGTATAAATAAACGCGATTTGTGTGCTTGATTCATTGTGCTGTCTGGGTGTTTGTAGAATACACTTTCTACGCTATATCAAGACCTCTAGCTGATACCTTTTGGTCTAGGGATCACAGTAGCCTACCTGGACGCTGGTTCATTGTTTTGTTCTCGTTATTCGACTAAGGTGAACTGGTAATAGTTTAAGCATACCTAGAGACGAGCGTAACAAGGATGAATGTAGCTTAGCGAGAAGCATTACTTGGATTACCAAAAAAAAAATTAGATGGAAAAAAAGTCACAGTGATAATTAAAATTAATTTGTTAATTTGTATGTTAGAGTAAGAATGTCAACACCCAATGAATTGTCAGAAAAAAAGATGAAATCATTGTTTATCAAAATATAATAAAAAGTACTGTGCAAAAAAACAGTTTAGTTGTACTACTAATACTACTACTACTACCACTACTACTATTACTGCCGACGCCACCCATGAAGAGATACATACGAACAAAACGTTTTGTGATTTTTCCAGACTATTGATTACTCTCAAATGAAGTTGGTGTTGAAAATTAATAATAATAGGAGAGAAATTTTTTGTCTCTCCAATAGCTAGTTTATTGACAGAAATATATATATATATATATATATATATATATATATATATTGTATGTGTTAGTCACCAGCAAAATGTTTATCAAACATTTTTAAATCATTCAGAATATGATGGAAATATAAACTTAGTATATCCGAAAAAAATGTTTAGTTTCAAAAATAATTATCATTCTACAGCGTTGGAGGTTGTCGAGTTTCGCTTAAATCATGATACGATCAATGGCAGATTACCATTAGAAAGCTGAAAGTTAGACATCGATACCATTGGGTTATGCAGACGTCAGCATCTCGAGGGAAGCACGGTATTCAATGGACAGCTAGGACTCAGATGGACGATTTGGACCTCGCAGACGACCTGGCTCTTCCATCACATACGTTAGGGCAAATGCAAGAGAAGACGACCAGTGCAGCAGCAGCCTCTGCAGCGGTAGGTCTCAACATACATAAAGGAAAAAGCGAAATTCCCCGATTCAACACAACATGCACCAACCAAATCACTCTTGATGGACACGCCTCGGAGGACGTTAACACCTTTACATATCTTGGCAGCATCATCGACAACCACGGTGGATCCGATGCAGATGTGAGAACGCGGATCGGCAAAGCAAGGGCTGCATTTCTACAGTTGAGAAATATCTGGAACTCCAAACAAATATCAATCAACACCAAAACCAGGATTTTCATCATCACCATCATTCACAAGATACAAGTATTCATTAACAGTTGTCTTCGCAAAATACTTCGGATTTGTTGGCCAGACACTATCAGCAACAACCTAATGTGAGCGAGAACAAGCCAGATTCCAGCGGAGGAGGAAATCAGGAAGAAGCGCTGGAAGTGGATGGGACACACACTGCGAAAATCACCCAAATGCGTCACAAGACAAGCTCTCACTTGGAGCCCTCAAAGTCAAATGAAAAGAGGAAGGCGAAGGGACGCATTACGCCGACAAATAGAGAAAGACATGAGAAGAATGAACAAAAACTGGAAAGAACTAGAAACGGAAGCCCAAGACAGAGTTGGTTGGAGAAAACTGGTCAGCGGCCTATGGCTTCATTAGGGGTAAAAGGCGCAAGTAAGTAAGTAAGTAAGTACCATTGGATACGCACGAGACCGAAGGTGCTGGGTCCGATTCCCAGATGCGGGTAAAGTGGACGCGCACTGCCGACGAGTCTCATACCAGAACGAAACGGTCATTCAGTGCTTCCAGGTTTCTAATGGTGGTATAACAATGATTGATGCCTGATTTCAAAGAAAGATCATTTAATAATCAACGGTAAAATAACACAGGTCCTTATAAATTCAAGTTGCCAGATAATGAGCGCAAAGTGGAATGAATATCAAGGATCTAGTTGAAATATTACCTACGGTAATGTGAAATGAAAGTTAGAAGATATAATACAAATTAATATAAAGTGAGGATAACGAAGTATCTTATCGTTTTTTTAATTAAAAAGGGTTGTTCTGATATGCAATATGCAATAGATTTTTCCAGTTCCTATTTCCCCACTGATCTTTGCGTTAGCTAGTACAAGCTTGCTATCTCAAGGTCATATCCGTCACTATACAGATAAAGATGTCCGATCGCAGTTTTGAATCGTTTCAGTTTAAAAAAAATTAGGTATGAAAGATATGATTTGAAGAGAAAGCATGAATTTATGTGATAAAAGGTATGATGTGATTTTAAAATTTAAGATCTAAAGAAGAATAAAGAGTAAACGGATCCGTACTGTCGGAACCGATTCAAAGTCATGTCGACCAACATCGTTAACCAGTGGTCACGACAAACAAGTAGACTCCAACCAAATGGTTTGTACCTACCTACATGGTCCAGTTTAATAGTAAATCACTTCATTGATCAATGAAAAGCTTTTGTTTGACAAACTCTAGTTTAGTCTCGACCTGCTCCTTCACCAGACAACATTGTGTAATCAAGGCAGATTAACAAACTCAGTCTTACCTCATCAACCGATTGATAGTTCATGAAACACAATGTTTAAAGCAGTAAAAATGAATAATGTTTTTTATATTATAAAACTCATGCAAATTCCGATAAAAACCTTAAAGGGATAAGAATGAATGTTAAATCTGTCGAAGCGTCTAACAACATGATTGAGATATTCGTGAAATCGAAGTTCAGTAAAATGCGGATTTGTCTAAAGAACAACTCTTTTAATTATGACTGAATATAAATTGGATATAAACCTAAACTCATGAGGTTTTTAAAGCGATTAGCGCCTCTGAATATGTGTAAAGAAAAAGACTTCCAGTAACAATAACATAAACAATCACTGTGTAAATGACAGTTGTGTTTAGGTGTTAACAACAATTTATCGATAATCGTACAAGAACTAAGAGCAAAAGATTATGGGACTTGCTGCGTTAGAAAAAAGATTTATGAAGCGTCCAGTACAGGGGATAAAAGTTACAAGATTTGAAACATAGTAGTAGTAATAATAATAATAAATACAATAGACGCAAATAGTTATGTAAATAGCTTAACATATCACACAACGATATAATAGGCGTCGCATAATACAGAATTTATTCAAGTTAAACTATTTACTGAATATAAATAAGTAGTATAAATCAATACACAAAAAGCTAGAAAAATACGGAAGAGAAAAAGAACAAATTTAAGGAACTTAACACTACAATGGATTCCATATTGAGTTGATTGAGAATTTTTCCCAGAAAAAAACGGGATGTATCAGTGAGAAGAAGAACCTATTATTATTTCACAATTATTATATAAATTAACCTTCTATTGTCAAGGGCAATTTCACATTGGTCTTCAGGAGAAACAAGGAGACTGACCACGGGTTAGCATTTCAACGTGAACAGTTCGGCTCGAACCCGTGGTGCAACCAACCACATAGGTACCTGATAAACTGATGGACCATTCACACCAATTATATATACACTAGTACAACTTATATAATGATTATTTCCGATCCATGATTGCATCAATCAATATGCACAGCATGAACAAGCCAATGTGACCCATCCCGCATACATGACTATCAAACTCATTATTATTAGCAATGGTGATATGCAGCAATACAATACCCCAATCATAATGGCCCTTGGGAATGTTACAAAACAACCACTAGTAGTATCAATGAAATCGGTCACCCGGCTAACCAATTTTGTATATGAAATTGTTAGCAATATACTTGCCAAAACAATGCCAAGTCATCCACATTGTCTCAAAGGAAACCTTCAGCTCTACATAGCAGTTTAACATATTGTATACACATGGTATGTATGGCATAGGATAGCAAGAGATGCAGCCTAGTTTGATGCAAATAAGCTCAAGCACTCTTATTACCTTTTGTCTCATGTTGGCTAATGATATTTTTGTAATACCGAAAATTTCATTTTTCAACCCTATGAGACCTGAGTTAGGGGTAGTATCCCTTATCATTACTTTTAATAATTAGTTAGGATTAAAAGATCCAAGAATAATACAAATTTATTTAATGAGTTCATTTTTTTGTTGACGTTATGAAACACTACAATTGTGTACTCTTTAATACACGATCTCATTGTGTTACTATAAACAGTAGAAACTGTGTAAAAATTTTTAAATTCGTTTCGATAACAACAACAACAACAACGTACATGTTTGTTCATGTTAGGTTCATATCAATCGGTTAGACCAGGTGATAATTTATTTATCATTTATATAAATCCGTTTAGATATGTTTAAGCTACACTACATCATTTTGAATTGAAGTAGACAGAGTGAAGTTCAAATCTGTTACGCATGCACGTAAACACATCAATTTGATATGCTTGAACTATTACGAGTTTACCTTAGTCGGAAAACCAGAGTGAGTATCGAGGATCCTGTGACACGACATGCTACTCTAATCCGAGTGTCCCCAACCCCCATTGAGTAAAAGTCGACTTGATATGACTTAGAACATATATTCTACAAGCATACAGAAAGTACGAGGTCCGAGGTCAGAAAGGAATCAGGATCCCGGACTAGAATCCGGGTCCGGGTAATAAAACGTTACAGATAATGCGTGTTTATACAGTTAGGTCGAATAGGAAACAACATCGAAGTCTGTGACATTGACAGTTAAGTCGACCAATAGGGAAAAACATTTGAAGTGATATCGATAAACAGGACGACCGATAAGAAGCAACATTGAAGCACGTGACATTGATATCTAGGATGACCATAATATTGACCAATAGGAATCGACCAATATAATTTATACTTAAAAAATAATTCTTCGTAAGATATTTGGTAAATATCCTAACAAAATCTACAGTCAAATAGTTAATAACTAAGTGTTTTGACGAATAAACGATTTCTTTAAGACGTAATTTCGTCTTTTCAATATCCGTATACTATACAGCAACTTCAAGAGGCTTACATAGGATCAAACTTGACACATTCAGTAGGCAGAATAAATTATGCAGTTATTATTAATGATCCTAAATCCACATGAAGCGTTTTAAGCGTGGAGTTGCCAACAATATCCTGCATCAAAGAACATTATTGAAAAGACGTTAACCATAAAAATAATGATCCAATGTGATTGATATAAATCTGAAAAGTATGAGTGTTTAGTTTAACTAACTAATGCCATTCGAATTAAATTCTACTGAATGATTTTATATCAAGATGAAACTCTGATAACGATAATAATAATAATAATAATATTTAAAACGATGTTCAAGGTGCTTAACAATCAAATTAACGATAATACTGCAAATACCATAAAACTCAAATAACTACTCACTTGAATCTTGCGTATCATCCGAATTTGGTTCTTTCGACAAAGTATATTCATTACGTAGTGATGTAGTAACAGATTTTGAAGTATATAAATCATTACTCTCTTCATTTAATGTCCATTGTTTTGAAAGACTTTCATCTTCAACGCCACGATGATGATGACGATTCATAGTGTCATCATCATCCTCCTCTTCTTCTTCCTCCTCCTGCACTCTGTCTTCGTCATCGTCATCATCATCATCATCGTCATATTCCAAGTCAACGCCATACCAAGCACCACTAGCACGTTGACGTAATAATCTATCACTACCTGCGGTGTTTTTCGTCATGTCAAGTGTTTTCTCCATAGTTTGACTATCAGAACTTACATCATAATTTACGGATTGTTTATCAATCATCAATGTTTTTAATCTTTGAGTTTTTTTACGTTTTGTCATTTTTAATTCTTTACTATTTTTTGATAAAGTTGATTTGATAGATTTACGTTTTAATAATTTCGATACTTGATTAATTCGACTAGTTGTTGGCAATGGCTTGGCGGCATGTGTAGTTTTTTGATGTGTTTGATTGTCTAATGTATGTTGTTGTGAATGTACATCCATAGGACCACCACAACCACCACCACCAGTTTGAGATGGATTCGATTCAGTGCATGATTCATTTTCTAATCGGCTAATAAAAAGTAAAATGTAACATGTAACAAACTACATTAATGAGATGGTCAATTGAAAAGATGCTTATTTGATCAAAAACACTTCATGTTTGATTAGAGTTAGATTCTCAAGTTATACAGATTGTTAACAATTCATTTTGTGTATATGTTTAGCGAGTTAAGTAACAGCTATGTGTCCGTGAAAATGATTACGATTCAGTTGGATTTAGTTAGATCTACAGTGATGCCTAATTACGAACCAATTTCTTTTAAATGCCAATAGGAACCTGAACTAGTGATAGGGAGTGAAGTAGTCGAGTGTGTAGACCGCTTCACTTATCTTGGGAGTCTCATCATTGCTGATGGACTGCTGACTGACGAAATCTCAGCACAGATAAAGAAGGCTCGATTGGCTTTTGCCAACCTACATCACTTATGGCGTAGGAGAGATACCCGTTTGCTGACTAAAAGACAAGTGTACTGTGCAGTAGTTCGTTCCGTCTTACATTATGGCTGTGAAACATGGCCAGTGAGAGTAGAAGATATTCGTAGGTTACTAGTTTTCGATCATCGATGTCTCCAAAGCATTGCTTGTGTATCATGGGACAACCGTATAAGCAATGCTGTCGTTAGGTTACGAGTACTAGGTAAAGATGGTAGATCAATAGATGAAGTAGTGAAACTTCATCAGTTGAGGTGGTTGGGACATGTTCTGCGTATGCCTAACCATCGACTGCTTTGATGAGCTTTGTTTTGTAGTGTAGGAGAGTAGGTTGTAAGAAAGTTAGGGGCGACCAGACCAAAACATGGCAGAGATCCATGAAGTCACTGACTAGTGGAATGAGCCATGTCGGTACGTTTCGACTACCAGGTTGGGGTCCGCGAGATGATAATAATCGATGGTTAGAGACCCTAAATGACATGGCTCAAAACCGTGTGCAATCGCGCCGGTGCATTTATTCTTTGTGTTCTCTCAAATCCTAATCTTCTGGATTCTTCAACCCCTCTAGTTTTGACTTTCTAAACTTATCTCACTGAGTCATACTTCTTGAATAACGTCTTCGAACTGTAATCTCTCCGATTATTTGTAATACCTTTACTACCTCTACTACGTTGCATCTGACTGACTGACTGACTATTATAGTGATCTCAACAATGTGACCATAGGTAAACAAATACAATTATCCTCATAAAACCAAGAAAGAACAGAAAACTAAGGAAAAAGTCTGACATTCTAAAGTTTCAAGCGAGCAAAGTTGAAATGAAACAAGTCTATATACTTAGTAGTAAAATATGACCATAGGAAACAGAACCAAGCACACTGAGAGTGATAACTAATCAGAAAATAGTAAAGGTTGTGATCAAATATAGTTAAGAAAAAAATTTAACAATAATCCAGGCTATAGAAATTAACACTGATTAACGGAAACTAGATAAGTTTTCCTCGCAGTAAATCGTTTACCCGACTGAAGAATACATGAATTTTTTTAATGTGATGACTGATGTATATTCTATCTAACTGTTTTTAAATAGAACGACGTGGGATGAAGGTTTAAAAATATGTCATTTATTTTTAAACTACTAATATACAGCGCTTCATATATAACCTCAAAAATATAGACAAACAAACAGGGATCTACATTAGGAACTTGTTATTCAACTTTAAAATTTCATTTATTTTTGAACTTTTTTAGACAAAAAATTCACAGCTTATAAACAATAGTTTCTCAAATTTAATATTCACTTACAATCACAAATAACCTAAGATAATTATTTAAGTCTAATTCTATTGGTCAATAACTAAGGTAGTCCTAGCTATCAATGTCACCTACTTCAATGTTGTTTCTTATTGGTCGTTCCTGAATTTCAATGTCACTTCAAATGTTGTTTCCTATTGGTCGCCCAAACTGTCAATATCAATAGACTTCAATATTATTCCTATTCAACCTAACTGTATAAATATGCATTATCTGCAACATTTTGTGACCCGAACCTGGATCCCTAGTACAGGATCCTGATTCTCTTCTGGATTCGGACCTTGCACTTTCTGGATGCTTGTAGAATACAGGCTCCACTTCATATCAAGTTTTCTTCTTTTACTCAATGAGCGTTTGGGACGCTCGGATTAGAGTAGCCTGTCGTGTCGCAGGATCCTGAATCCTCACTCTCGTTTTCCGACTAAGGTAAACTCGTAATAGTTCAAACATATCAAATTGACATGTTTACGTTCATGCGTAACAAATACATTCACAAAATAATAAAATAAATCATACATAACATTATAATTGATGTTTATTACCTTCGTATATTTGCTTCAATTGTATCTAATGTTTCTTTATCTTGTTCTAATCGTATACGAGCAGCTTGTAACATTTTTTGTGCAATCTCTGTTAATGGACTTTCATTACCATTGAATGTAATACAATTTGATAGAATTAATTCAATTTGTACAAAAAATTCATCACGTGAACGAAAACGATTCTCTTTAACTAATTTTTCAAGTGTTGATAAATCCATTGGATTACTTATAATTTTATAATAATCCTATGAATAATAATATTTTGTTAAAATAAAAAAAAGTATTAAAAAAAAAAATTTAAATGATCATTGAAAGAAACAGGACGATCAGGAATATATCATTTAGTTAAACAAGAATTCAGGTTATTTACATTGTGTCTTGTGTTGTATTCAGTTTAGCATATAAAAACATTGGGTTATTTACAAACAATTGAGATAATTCTAATATGAACAGAATCTTCTATGAACTCGAAAAGGTAGTTAATGACAATAACTGACTACAACTGTTTAATCATAATCTCTAATGATAAAGTCCAGAAAGGAGACAGTCAGATACAACGCAGAAATTCCTACGTAAGTACATCAGTTCAGGTTGCCATGCCCCATCAGCACAGAGACGCAAATGTCACTTCAAATCCAAGAGTGATAGCAATAGTAGAAGTATTAGAAGTTATGCAGAAGATTAAGGAGCGAAGATATGATTCGAGAAGTATAATTCAGTAAGATAAATTTAGAAGGAGAAAGGTAGAGATTATGAGGAATGCAGAAGCTTAAAATTTCATAGAACACAAAGAGTGGATGCACCTGCGCCATTACAAACGATTCTGAGCCATGTCATTCAAGGTCTCTAACCATCGGTGACTATCGTCTCGCGGACCCCAACCAGGTAGCCCACATCTACCAACATGACTCAGTCCACTTGTCAGTGACTTCATGAACTTCTGCCATGTTTTAGTTTGGCCGCCCATAGCTTTACTCCAACCAACTCCTACACCACAAAACATAGCTCGTCGAGGCAGTCGGTGGTTAGCCATACGTAGCACATGTCCCAACCACCTCAACTGAAGAAGTTTCACTACTTCATCTATTGATTTGCCGTCCCTACCTGGAACTCGTTTCCTAACGATAGCATTGCTTAAATGGTTGTCCCAGGATACACGAGCGATGCTTCGGAGTCATCGATGATCGAAGACTAGTAACCTACGAAAGTCTTCTACTCTTAACTGCCAAGTCTCGCATCCGTACAGTATGACGGAGCGAACTGCTGCACAGTACACTCGTCCTTTGGTTAGCAAACGGATAGAAGAAAAGTCGGATAACTTTATGCATATATATATTAACCGAACACGACTTTAGGATACACAGTTACTTCAAATCAAGTGTAGGAGGAGTGAATTCTTCCAAAAGAAATCAAAAATTAGTTCAATCAATTCGAATTAGAAATTATCCGTGAAATAGAATAGTTAGATTGTTCTTAATGACATAATGAGCCGAAATAAGTTATACAATCATTAAAAACTTGGAAACATTGGACGGTCGTCCTGTTCTAATTTGAAACTCTTTAGCAGTGTGAAATTGACGACCCCATAGGGGATCGAACACAAGAGCTTCAGATCATGCGATGATCAATTAAGCTTTGTAAAACTGAGTCAGCATTCAATGGTTTATATTGATAACTTTAGACACTTCAAAATAGTGTGTAACCATCCGCCAATATCATTGACAATCAACTGCCACATACTCGACTCTACTAATCACAACATCTTGGTAGAACTGTGAGAATAATTTCTTGAAATCAGTCAATAATAAGCAACAACTTTTATGCAACCCTCATTTATATGTAAACAGTTGTTGAATAAAAAAAGTCAAACAATTAATTGCATAAAATTGTTGACATAAATTGTATAGTCAGTAGTTTTTAGACTGAATGTTTACACTTGAGGAAAGACAATGAACTATTACTACTAGAAATTACTTATTTACACCTGTTTCACCTAAAGGAGCATAGGCTGCTGGCTAGAATTACTAGATGTTAAAAGTTATACTGTTAGTGTATCACGTTAGGATTTTCAAACAAGAGTTGTTCTAAGAGTCAGAGATTTCTACTTAAAAAACCACTTTTCAAAAGATAACAATGTCTCACGTAAATCATTCCATATATCTTCAGTCTTTGCGAAAAAACTTCATGTTTCAAATATGGTACGAATTGTGAATTTTTTTATTTCAAATTGTACTACTAATTAGTAACTAGTTTTTAATCACATAATTTTCTGAACTTCATTGGTTAACTGTTAATTAAAATTGGTCCATACATTTTATCTTTTCAATTATACTAAACAGATTTTTTTTGTGCTTGTCTATGCTGAGAGTTGATTGCTGCAGCTTTGTAAACCTCTCTGGTCTAAGTTACTTATTATTATTTTTACACGTTGAAATCATAAATGAATCATTGTTAGATCACCTGGAAGCACTGGGCGGCCGTTTCGTTTTAGTATGGCACTAATCAGCAATGCACATTTACAACTCCTGTCAGTCAAAGGATTTGAACCCAGGATCTTCGACCTTGCGCGCGAACGCTTAAACTCTGAATCATTGAGCCGGCAACCAATGGTAGTAATATCTAATTCTGATCAATCTAAGAATTTAGCGCAACCTCACCTATAGTTTTCAGTAGTTACTGCCTACACCCGACAGGAATGAGCTTCACTAGTCACATCTTCTCACTAGGACTCCGGGAATTTCCTCACAAAGCAAATCTTTAGTGTGCACATTTTATGATTTTGCATTATAATATTAAGAGATGATGAGAGTCTCATACCAGGAGGAAACAGCCGTCGAGCGATTCCAGATTTCTAATAGTGGTTTAACAATGATTCATTCATGATTTATAATGTGTAAAAATAATTATCTCTATAATACTATTTATAAATACATTCATACATAAAATATGTCTTGGAAGCCAAAATAGTTTGTTAACTGACTTTGATCAATTTCCAGTGTATGCATTTAACAAGAGTATTTACAATTTTAATTAAATAAAAAAAATAATTTTATTTACCGGATATCTTCGTTTATCCACTGGTATATGAAATGGTCGACTATGTTCCACACCACGCATAGCTTCAATAGCTTGTTGTAATAAATAACTTAAACCAACTAAATCATCTTCATCTAATAAAGGATTCACTAATGATTCTAATCGCATTAATTTTAATTCTTTATGACAAAATTGTTCCATTACATGGGAACACATTTTCATAGCTGTTTCAGTGTATGCACTATAACGACCTGGAGAGGAAATAGAAAAAGAAATGCATTTCAATGAAGAAAAAAATATAAAAATATGATAGAAATTTCTAAGCGTTATATTAACATATATATACATATGAGTGAATAATACTCTGTTTGCTAGCCAAAGGAATATTCTACTGCACAGCAGTTCGCTCTGTCCTACTGACTGTTACATACCCGTAACAGTCAGAGTCGAAGATACTCATAGGTTGCTGCTTTCCGATCACGGGTGTCTTCAAAGCATTGCTCGTATATCCTGGGACAGCCGAGTAAGCAATGCTGTCGTTAGGAAACCAGTACTAGGTAAGGATGGCAGATCGATAGATGAAGTAACGAAACTTCATCAGTTGAGATGGTTGGGACATGTGTAACGAATGTCCAACCACTGACTGCCTCGTTAAGCGATGTTTTGCAGTGTAGGAGTAGGTTGGAAGAAAGTTAAGGGACAGCCAAACCAAAACATGGCAGAAATCCATAAAGTCACTGACAAGTGGATTGGTTGGGGTCCACGAGATTATAGTAATCTATGGTTAGGGACATTGAATGATATGGCTCAAAACTGTTCGCGATGGCGCAGGTGCATTCATTCATTATGTTCTCTCAAATACTAATCTTCTCAATTCCTCATGACCGTTTTTCTCTCTTTTTTTAATAGATTCCTCTAGAGTGTACATCTCGAATGATATATTCGATCATTAATCTTTTTGATTACTGCTAATACTTCTACTACCTCTACAATTGCATAACTATGCTAATGTAGTATGGCAAATTGAACTGATGTACATACGTACGTACGAAGTTCTACGTTGTAAATGACTGACTGACTAACTCTATTCAATAAATTCGCATTAGATTCTCCGGCTGTAAGCTGAAAATTCATGATCATAAGAAACGAACGAATGTAGGCGGCGAATGTAACTTTCAGAAATACAGGATATATAGCTAGAGAGTGGGAGCCAAGAGGTGTACTTCATCTTGTTTTGGGACTTGTCAGCTGGTTGTGATGGTATACTCCAGTGTTAAGGTTGACATGAAGACTCCAGTCAGACACTTTTTAGCAGTATCTACTGAGCTACAGAAGTTCAGATTGTCAATAACTTGTAACACAGGAAATTAAAAACTCCTATTAATGAATTTACAACTGGCTGTTCAAGGTAAGTTTGTTAGTTAGTCTTTTAAATGTTCAAATAACTAGTAGTATCTACTGTATACTTGAATAAGTTTAAAGACTGAATTAAATTGTGAAATTAATACTCTGAGTAAACATGTAAGTGATGTAAAGTGAGAGACCTGAAAGGAACTAGGTTCGATGGGAATTTTTTAATAGAGTGCGACAAATAGTTAATATTCTCGAAATTTCAACGGCTATTTAACTAAATTCGGTCCATGATCAAAGCTACAAATAGTGATAATAGTTGAGTTACAGAAATTTCTGAAAAAACTAAGTTTATTTGAGCAGGTTATATGCATCAGTTTCTGACTATGGTAAGAAAAATGTGGTAAGCATACTTTCTTTTGAATGCATAGCTTAGAAATGAAAAACGGTCTAATGAATTATGTTTCTGTTGCCACACAGATTCTCAAAGATCACAATATAAATGATAGACTACTGAAAATGACAAAATACTGTTAACATTGTAACTGCGCCTCGAGCTCTTCTGGGGCTATAGCCAGTTCCAAGTCCGGATAAAGGAGGAGGGTTGGGCGTGGGGTTAGTGACCATATCCCGTACAAAACTGTCTCTCTTAAAAAAACTCCAACCATATAAACTCTGCTCTGGGAGTTAGAATCTCTTTATTCAGAAGAGTCATGACGTCTCATGATGAAAGCCGAGTTCCTTTGGAAGTCACAAAGCCGGTGCACCTTCTGACAACTACAGCAATCACTCTTTTACGTACATAGAATGTTCTAGCTTCATAATTGATTTTCACTAGATAAACCTAAGATCAAGATGTTGATAGTTTTAACTACTAGTACATCAGCAGATTTTGGTGAAATTATAATACGCGAACGCCTAACCATTGGACCACTGAGGCGGTATCCAACGGTGTTAATGTCTAACTCTGATTGATCTCGGGATTTTGCGCGACCTCACCCATTTGTCTTCTGCAGTTACTGCCAGTGGAGTCCAACCCTGTTGGGTGTAGGCAGTAACTACCGAAGACAAATGCGTGAGGTCGCGCAAAATCCCGAGATCAATCAGAGTTAGACATTTACACCGTTGGATGCTGGCCTAGTGGTCCAGTGGTTAGGCGTCCGCGCACAATACCGAAGGTCCCGAGTTCGAATCCTGCGAGGTGCAGGAGTCGTGGATGCGTACTGCTGATGAGTCCTATTACCAGGACGGAAAGGCCATCCAGTACTTTCCAGGTTTCTAATGGTAGTCTAACAATGATTGGTGATTGATGATTTCAAGTGTGTAATAACACTAATCTCCATAACTCTGATTGAAATTATTACAAATATAAACTGAACGATAAAAAAATGAAACAGTAAACAAATACGTGTATATAAGAATACCACAGCTGATAAAATCACCCTATTATCAGCGAGATAAATATAAGGTAATAAATATTGACTGCAATATAATCAGTAGGCTGTAGATCCAAACTTCACTGTATTTATTTCAGTTTGAACAACCCAGGAGGATTATTAGATTTCATACAATCAGATTTATTTGCTCACTTAAACACCTGTAACCCAGTCTTGTAAGGTCAGGCCATCAACTAGGGATCTTCAAGCAATCCAGTCCTAGCTTCTCTTTTCCAGCTATACAACAACTAAAGTATGACTGAAAATTCGGCGGATAAATCTGTACTTGAAAATGATGAGTTGTATTCAGTCAAACAAAATATTGACATTTTTATAACTTAATGTATAACAACGTTATTCATGGTTTCAAAAATATGTAACTTAACAATCTTCACAACCCTGTAATGCAAATTACCTGTGCTCACTAGTGACTAGCTTCGTGAGGAATCTTCTCTGAGTTCTAGTAGGAAGACGTGACCACTGAAGTTCAACCTGTTCGGGTGTAGACAGTAACTACCGAAGACTGTGTATGAGGTTGCGCAACTCCGTGAATGGACCGAAGTTAGATATCAACACCGTTAGTCCGATGGTTAGGCGTTCGCGCGCAATACCGAAGGTCCTGAGTTCGAATCCTGCAAGGTGCAGGAGTCGTGGATGCGCACTGCCACTGATGAGTCCTATACCAGGATGAAACGGCCATCTTTCAGTGCTTCCAGGTTTCTAATGGTGGTCTAACATTGAACGATTCATGGTTTCGAAAATGTGTAACTTAACAATCTTCACAACTCCGTAATGCATGACAACGTTATCCACAAAATTGTAAATACAGACACACACACACATTAGTAAAGTAAGTAAGTTTGTATGTTGTACATCTATAAAACCAACTTACCATTGAATTTTGATGAATTATTATAAATCAGACGAATATCTGATAAGAATTCTTCACGTGTAGCATAACTATTCTCATTAATTTTCATACGTATTTGTGATAAATCCATTGGTTTATCAATTTGTGAATAATAATTAGGAAAATCTTTCTCTTTCACAGGATGCATAAATATTTTGTAACCGGGAATTTGTGTAAGATCCTGTAAATGTGTATATGATCAAAGAGAATTTGAAAGAAAGCTATTATGAGAATGACAGAAAAACGAAACATGATATAGAGACTAATAAAGTTATTTATTGATTATTGAATTAAGTCATGTTACGAGAGAGGTGCAGACCGAACAATATTTGAAATCTATGTGAAGACAGTGTGATTAGTGATTGAGGATGTTAGGTAGTCGTCAGTGGTTAAAAACTCAAGTTTTAATTAATCTTAATTAACAGAAATTAGAAATTAAAAGTAAATTACACTATTGTTATCTACTTCAATGATAAGATATACATGTAGGATTTTATATGAGATGTTCGAGATTTTTCTTAGATCATTGATAAAACTAGATGAGGAGTAATATTGATTCGATTAGATATTTGGATAAATATCAAATATCCAGACAAATTAACTGGAACTTCAGTAATTAAATTATTACGGATAAATTTAAGCTAAATAAAATTTTCTAATTCGGTAACAGTATTTGATAACTGAAGTAGTAATATTCATGAACGTAAACAAGTCATTTGATATGCTTGAACTATTAAGAGTTTACCTTAGTCGGAAAACGAGAACGAGTATCGAGGATCCGGCAACATGACAGGCTACTCTAATCCGAGCGTCCCAAGCCCTCATTGAGTAAAATAAGAAGACTTGATATAAAGTGGAACCTGTATTCTACAAGTATCCAGAAAGTACGAGGTTCGTGTTCAGAAGAGGATTAGGATCCTGAACTAGGCATCCGGGTCTGGGTCATAAAATGTTACAGATAATGCGTATTTATACAGTTAGGTCGAACAAGAAACAACATTGAAGTCTGTAACATTGATAGTTAGGACGACCGATAGGAAACAACATTTGAAGTGACATTGATAGTTATGATGACCAACAGACTTAGACTTACAAAAATAATTCTCTTAGGATATTCGATGAATATCCTAACAAGTAGGTTTCTCAAATGGAAGTAAATGGAATTCAATATGAACTTGTGCCTCGACAAGCGTAGTGTTTGTGGTGTACGAGGATGCTGGAAGAAAGTTTGGGGAGGCCAAACCAAAATATGGCACAAATCTGTGGAATCACTGACAACTTGAATGAGCTACTTTAGTAGATACAGACTGCCGGGACAATAGAAACTGACGGTTAGAGACTTTGAATGACATGGCGCAAAATCTTTTGCAATGGCACAGGTGCATCCATTCTTTGTCTATTCTCTAATCCTGATCTTCCGAATTCCTAGTCACCTCTATCTGTATTCTTTTAAATTTATTTCATTGAATTATACTTCTTGAATAATTTCTCCGAACCCTAATCTGCTTTATTACCGTTAATACTTCTACTACATCTACCACTATATGATTTGAATTGATAGTTGCATATCCGTGATAATTTGGTACGGCAACTTGAACTGATGTACGAAGTTCTACGTTGTAACTGACTGACTGACTTGTGGTTTCGTTAATTAAAATCTGATTCGATAAATAAATGGACTACAGAAATTTATGGCCAGTAATGTTGCTTATAACTACTGGTTATATTTACGCGTTAAGTAGATTGTGTATTAATACGAACAGACAAGTACTTAAATAAATACAATTCAACCCCAAATATACTAAAATTTAGGGAAAAAAACACAACACATTTAGCTTTGAGAATATTGATTTGAATTGAACTAAGATCATGACTTCAGTAAAAAATAGTGTTAGGATATTCATCTAATATCCTGAGAGAATTATTGGTCAATTCCTATTGGTTAATTGCCACTGGTCAATTTTATGGTCGTCCTAGATATCAATATCACGTGCTCCAATGTTGTTTCCTATTGGTCGTTCTGACTGTTAATGTCACTCAAATTTTGTTTCCTATTGGTCGACTTAAATGTCAATGTCACAGACTTTGATATTATTTCATATTCGACCTAAATGTATAACTACGCATAATCTGTAACGTTTTATGACCAGGACCAGGATCCGGCCTCGGATCCCTAGTCCGGGATCCTGATTCTCTTTTGGACTCGGACCTCGTACTTCTGGATGATTGCAGAATACATGTTCCACCCTATACAAAATCAAAATCAACAAACAAAACAGTCATAAAAATCACCTTATAAATTCCTTCAAAAATATGATTTAATGCAACACGAGGATCAATACGTCGTCGATTGCCACGATGTTTAATACTTGTTGGGAAATCATCATCAGTTAAACTTAAACTAGTTCGACGATTTCGTCCACCAGCGCCACCGCCACCTCCACCACCACCACGATTTCCAGCGCCCATTAATCCACGTCGATTTGAATTGACCGATTGAACAACAGCAGCTGCTGCATCCAAACGATCAAGTAATTGACGTCGTATTTTTAATTTTAAATTACGTCTATTTTGTTCTTTAATATATTTAGTTAAACCAGAGTGAAGTTTTAATTTTGTACCTTCAACCTGTAAAATGTGAGAAAATAAATAAAAACAAAATGTGTAAGAAAAAACTATGCAATAACTAGTAGGGTATTCAATTAAAAAAGAATAAAAGGTAAATTAACTAAAAGGAGATTAATGGAGATGAGTACATTTTTTTAAAGAAAAAATGTTTATATCATGGACTTTTGTATCTAAGTTATTGATGACCAAGGTGGATCCGATGCAGATGTGAAGGCATGGGATTGGCAAAGCAAGAACTGCATTTCTACAAATTGAACAACATTTGAAATTCAAAACAACTATCAACAAACACCAAAATCACAATTTTCAATACAAATGTCAAGACAGTTCTACTGTATGGGGTGGAAACTTGGAAAACTACGAAAGCCATCTTCCAGAAGATACAAGTATTTATGAACAGTTGTCTACGCAAAATACTTCAGGTCCATTGGCCAGACACCATCTGCAACAACCTACTATGGGAGAGAACAAACCAGATTCCAGTGGAGGAGGCAAAGGGAATCCCAGGGCAGAGTAGGTTGGAGAATACTGGTCGGTGGCCTATGCTCCATTGGGGACAACAGGTGTAATTAAGCAAGTTATATCCAAGTTAAGCAATCAGTGAGAATCAGGCAGCATTGGAAAGTTATTTCGATCTAGTATGGGATACTCAGTAGTACGTATTACCCGATTCCATTGGTGATTGATCATAACACCTTCAGGTTTTGTGATTAGCATTTAGACCATTAAATTGGGATTCATTAGTCAACATTATTAAATTTCAACTCATTGGTAATATTGCTCAATACTCTTACAATATCATTGGTGAATGACTCACCCCATACTTATCAACATACTTATTGAACTCAATCGGTTACAGTTTATCATTAGGACTGCAGGAATTACATCTCAGAATTAGATATAGTGTGTGTGTGTGTGAGAGAGAGAGAGAGCACAATAGTTGTTGAACTAAAATCAATTCATAATGTAAACTAATTAAAGGAGAAATTATTATTTTGAATAAGAATAAACTTGTTTAACAAAATACTTCATAGCTGTTTTGGTTCGTTTATTTACTTTTAGACGAGAAAATGAAGTCGACGAGTATAATTGATTATATATCATTAAACAGGGAAGATATTTATTCTCTTAACTAATATTAAGTAAATAAATAATTTCATAATCCCATTGGTAAATTGTATGTTTTATCAAATCAAATATCTAATTCCTTATCAAAATTGTAATTCCACTTTGACTGACAATAATTTCTTATTTTTACTTTGTCGACATAAACAATTTGATCATTTCACAATTTAACGAAGCTGATGGTTGGATTAGACCATATTACAGACTAGGCTTTAAATTCAATCTTAATTAACATCATTACCCTTCCCTATGGTATAAAAAAAATCGGTCTGTTAACTAAGCCAGTCAGTCAGTCAGTTAGATACAACGTACAAGTTCGTACGTACGTACGTAAATCACGGCGGCGATTAATAGTCTGATTAGTAATTAATTGGACAATATTGTAATGGTCAGTATGATGCTTAATGGTTATAATACTCAAGCGTTTCATTGCAAGTTCGAGACCTGTTCTATAACTTATTTCGGTTTGTACAATCAGACAATGAATCTAAACTTATTCAAAAAAGATAACTAAACTGTACTCAAAGTTTTAAGCCTATATATCACAGTAGGTTTCATGGTGTTATTCGATTAGTTTCGTCACTGACAACTGGACTGAGTCATGTTGGTAGATGTAGACTATCTGGTTGGAGTTCACGAGACGATACTAACCTATGGTGAGAGACCTTGAGTGACATGGCTCAAAACTGTTTGCGATGGTGCATGTGCATTCATTCTAAGTGTCCCCCCAAGTCCCAACCTTCTGAATTCCTCATTACCTTTACCTTTTTCTTCCTAAATTTATCTCACTGGATTATACTTCTTGAATAATATCTTCGATCCATAAACTTCCCGATTACCGCTAATTCTTCTACTATTGTAGTGCCTCCACATACATTCCAGTTTGCTCACATTTAATTTGGTCAAGCCCTTTCGATTGATCTATTTAACCAAGCTATTTGTATTGCAACAATTTATATGTACCATTCGTTCTTATTATTGTTTGGTTTGCAAGAGCTCACGTGACTTGTTCAACTTGTCTTTAGACCTTGTCAACCATTCGTCGCTTTTATTCATGTGTGTGCATGCCTATCTCGTTGATCACATGTCTGTCTTATTTTTGTCTGACTATATATTCTTAGTCATGCTCTATCTCTTTGGGTTGGCTCATTAGCCTACTCCAACGCGCTTCGCCTGTTCATCCGCTTCCTTCGCCCATTCGTTCGCATTGTAATCCTAAGAGTTGGCTCAACAGCCTTCTCCAATTTACGTTGCTTCATTCGTTTTATTGATCGCTTCTCCGCTTCGCTTTGTGGTATGTCCAAAAATAAACGTATTCATCACTACGAGTTCACCTTCTGATTTATAACCGTCAGACGCCATTTAGTAACGATTTTCTGGACGAACTAATTACCGAGCTTAAGAACACGCAGTAAATGGGCACACTACAAATGGTGAGCCCGTCGCAGTAATTGGCCACGACACTATCTCCACCACTATGGGATTTGAACTGACGATTGTAGTATGGTAAACTTGAACTGACGTACGTATGTACGAAGTTCTTTTTTGTAACTGACTAACTGATTGACTAGTTTCATCATTTAAGATTCAAATAATATTGAAATGAGTTTAAGCAGGTTAAATATAAGTAGAGATGGATTGTAAAATACAATCTCTAACAATGAAATACACACTGACTAATTAATTATTATTCAATTTTCTCCAAAGTTAGCTTATTCACGGAGAAACTGTTGGGGATGTTAGATCCCCAGAACTCGCTTCATAAATGCCTGAATTTGGATTTCACGTTTGAGAGCATGGGCTGATCAGTTGACCTTGAGATTTCATTTCTCACCAGAAAAATCCATGGCTGTGATTGGCTGCTGTGTATTATTTTAGTGTGCTATTTTCGTAACTGTCCCAAGGACGTCATGATGATGTATAAATAAACGTGAGTTGTGTGCTTGATTATATTGTGATTGCTGGGTGTTTGTAGAAGAATATACTTTCTACGCTATATCAAGACTTCTATCTTCAGTTTGGGATTCAAAGGTAGCCTATCTGAACGTTGGTTCATTGTCTCGTTTGCATTTATCGACTAAAGGTGAACTCGTAATATGCTTCAAGCGTACCTAGTGAATCCGAACCCTACAGAAACTACAACAAGTAAACAAATAAACATCAAAGAAAGAAAAACAAAAAACCCAGTTAAAAAGGAGAATAAAACAAAACACTAACTAACTAACTAACCGTCATATCATTTTCACCTAACATCCCGTGGTGCATAGATGATTCATCAAAATCATCTGAATCTTTTTGGTTTAAATGTTGTTGTTTATCATTAGAATTATTGAAATCATTGGTGAAATTTGCTTTTGCCATTTCGTCTGCTTCTGCTGCTGCTTCATCTTCTTCATCTTGTTCAGCTAACAATTCACATACTGGACGTGATGCTAATGCTTGTGCTGCAGCAATAGTATCTGGTTCAATCAACATAGTAGTATTTCGATTATCTGTATAATTTTCACCATATTGATCAGTTTTAATAGTATCTAATGGAGGATGACTTGAATCATTTGATCGTGATAAATTACGAATAGTTGATTGTGTACGAAGTTGATTACGTTCTGCTAGTGTTGATCTACGCATTCCTCCTCCTTCATTATGAATTAATGATGCATTTGTACGTCCATACATTGGACATTCTTTATTTGTACGCATATGACCTAAATGATGAGGGAAGAAATAATAATAATAATTATACAATTTTGTACTGACAACACAATCTAACTCCGCCTGTAAACTGTTCGGGGCTACTGCCGGTCCTAAGCACGGATAAAAAAAAGGAAAGTTGGTATTGGAGTTGGTGACCCCATTCAGCAAAAAAAAAAACACTAACAAGAAAAAAATAATTCAAACCATATAAACTCTGCTCTGGAAGTTAGAAAGTCTTGATTTAGAAGAGTTATGACGTCTCATGATGAAAGCCAAGTTCCTTCGGAAGTCATGAGGCCGATGCCCCTTCCGACAACACGAACCCTTCCACGGTGTGGGAAGCCGGGAAGTAAAATCCACCCTCGTACATATAAAAGCACACAAGACAAAATTGGTCATGGTGGTGTTTCGTTCAATCAGCAATCAACAAACACATCGACATTGACCCAGTTTATCAACCAATCAGAAAAATCATAGGCAAACATAGGATCAAGAAACAGATCAAAAGGGGAATACAATCAAAGCTAAGGTCAAAAGCAACCAATCAAGATTGAGGTTAGCAGAACAAGCTACAGGTCAAACGTGGAGAAATTCGAATGCTTCACTTCTTCCATCTGAAGTTTGTGCTGACGATGTTGTTCAGAAAAACAACGAAAGCTCCACAACCAAAGCATCCAGCTCAGAAAAACAAACACCACCATCACAATCATCCACCTGAGCTACAAATCTTCTCCACCATCACAAAATTGGTCACAATCAAATCCTTTTTTATCAACACAATGTGACCAACATGTTAGGATGTTAAAAAATCGAAGGTGTACAACGTTTGTAATTAATTAGTTAGCAGTAATTTAAAAGATAAAACAATCTACCGCCTACACTTAAGATTTATTACTTGTCACAGTTATAATCTCTAAGGAGTTCGGAATAACAACAACTCTTCATATTGATGAGCAGCATTTCAACTAACTCAGCAATAACAAAATGACATCAATTGATGTCATTTGATTGATCCGAGTTGCTATACTACATTAGCAAAGATATATTATTGTCAATTCAAATCCCACAGTGGTAGAGGTAGTCGAAGTCATTAGAGGTAATGGAGAAGATTTGGGGTTCAAAAATATCATTCAAGAAGTATTATTCAGTGAAATCAATTAAAAACAAGAAAGATAAAGGTGATGAGGAATTCAGAAGATTAGAATTTGAGAGAACACCGAGAGTGGATGCACCTGCACTATCGCAAGCGATTTCAAGTCATATCACTTAAAGTTTTTAACCATCGGTTAATATTTGTCTTACGGACCACAACCTAGTTTTGTGAACACTTACTAACATGGCTCATAAATGTTTAACAATGAACAATGATATGTTCATTTCTACCAGTTTATACAGAATAAACGAAATGTGGCTAGCACTGAAATCCATGACGTGCGTTTTAGTTCCATTCGACACTTGTCAAATGAATATATCTGTTTCGCAGATTTGTTATCATTCAGGATTTGAATTCAGTCCTTGTAGCTTTAAGTAGCAATGCGTTATCCATTTAGCTAACGAGTTAGCACGAATAGCCACTGAATAAGTTTGGATCTCGGAGTGAACTTCAACTACTACAACCACGAACTATATTTCATCTATTCTATATAAATAAACAATAACTGTATTGGTTAACTCATTTTGAAAAGGGAATAGCCAATTCATTTACTGGTCATTGTTAGGATATTCATCCAATATCCTAAGAGGATTATTAGTCAATTCCTATTGGTCAATATTATGGTCGTCCTAGCTACCAATATCACGTGCTCCAATCTTGTTTTTTATTGGTTGTTCTGACTATCAATGTCACTTCAAATATTGCTTCCTATTGGTCATCTTAACTGTCAATGTCACAGAATTCGATGCTGTTTCCTATTCGACCAAAATGTATAAATACGCATTATCTGTAACGTTTTGTGACCAGGATCCCTAGTCCGGGGTCCTGATTCTCTTCTGGACTCAGACCACGTACTTGATGAATGCTTGTAGAATACAGGTTCTACTTCATATCAAGTCTTCTTATTTTTCACTCAATATGGGGTTTGGGATAATCGGATTTGAATAGCATGTCGTGTCGCCGGATCCTCGATCCTCGCTCTCGTTTACCGACCAAGGTAAACTCGTAATAGTTCAAGCATATCGAATTGACATGTTTACGTGCAGGCGTAACAGTCATTTAAGATAGTTTAGACTAAAAATAAACCTTTTTTTAAATTACACATCTTCCAATCAATAAATTGAATATTCATTTGTTAACTTATTTCCTGTCGATTGTTTTAAAGAGTAAATCTAATATAATTCATCCCTGTAACTAAATAAATAATGGCCCAAATGAATCAATCACTTTTCTTCCACATGACTTTATTTAACAACCAGCTCAGAGAACGAAACACCAACAAACACGAGTTTGTGTTTATTAGGAAGGATTTAATTGTGACCAATTTACTCACGTGTACTGCTGTTACGGGTATTCAATTGTAATAATTTTGTAATTTATATAAGGGAACACAAATGAGGATTCAATATCAAATACATATTTATCACAGAGTAGAGTAGTGAGTATTCTCGTTTAAAAACTGTCAGGGAAAATTAACTTGTATCATTTAAAAAATAAAATCGCACAAAAGAAGAGAAACAACTTAAGACTGGTGTGTAAACAAACTAACAAAATATTATTTACCTGTTTGACCACAAGCACCACAACGCATTTTAATCAGCGCTTCTGTTAATGTTTTATGACGTCTATGACGGTTCACCTTATTTGATAAACCTAAAGATTTCATACCACCACCAGCAGCAGTGCCACCACCACTGCTGCCACGTTCTCGCATGACTTGTTGTTGTTTACGAAGACGACGTAGTTGATCCTTCAAATTAGGTGAAAAAAAGAAAGTAAATAGTTCAAATCAGAGAATTGAATTAAGTGTGGACTTAGAGATATATTATTGTAAAGCAAGCAAGGAATTGAAAGACTGACAGATATCACTCAAAGGACACATTGCAGTAATCATCAAATGGCATAACAAAGCAAAACCCTAACTTGGAATCATCAAGACAAAAGGAAGAGAGGCAAATCAAAGAATACATCACATCAACTTGGAAATAGGAGGCAGACAGTAAAAGAATGAATAGTACTTGAGAACAACTGGAAAGGAAAGCCTAATACAGAGTAAGTTGGAGATTGTTGGTCGGCTTCTTATGCTTCAGAAAGGAGAAAAGAGGTGTAAGTAAGTAAGCTAGGAGGAGGGACGGAAAGAATATAATTTTTTTTACCTTATAAGATATCATTACAAAAGAAATGTTTTTACTGAAACGTCATTATTGGATCGGAATTCTATGGATAAAGCCGAATAAGTCAAATGTTTCATTGTTTTTCAGTATTAGCCACATTGCTTCGAAGGGATGTTAGAATCTAACGAGATTCTTTTGATAAGGTTTTCAGGACCCAGGAACACTTTAGGAACATTTCATTCAATTACTAAGTACCACAAAAACTTTTGGAAAATTAATGAGTTATGTGTCAAACATCGATTAAGTGGTTACTTACATTGGTACCTGGATTGGAATGTTTCCATGAATAACCAGAGTTTAATGGTTATCAGTAAACCTATAATAAAAAAGCCTTGTTTTCTGCACATGAACGAACCTTTAAGAAGAGTTTCTATGCCTACTTCGCACCATTTCTCTACTGTTCGGACTCACATTTAGGAGTAATAAGAGTATCTAGTAAGAAGTTAAGAAGTTAGTAATAAGCGTTTGAGTAGGAAGCATAACATGTGCAGCAACAATAATGACAATAACAACAAAACATGGCCGGTAAGAGTAGGTTACTGGTATTCGATTATAGATGTCTTAGAACCATTGTTCGTCTATCATGGGAGAACCGAGTAAGCAATGCTGTCGTTAGGAAACGAGTGCTAGGTAAGGATGGAAGATCAATTGATGAAGTATTGAAACTTCATTATTAAGGTGGTTAGGAGAGGTGTTATGAATGCCTAACCACCGACTGCCTCGACGAGCGATGTTTTGTAGAGTAGGAGTAGGTCGGAGGAAAGCTAGGGGCGCCAAAACAAAACATGGCACAAATCTATGAAGTCACTGAGTCATGTTGGCAAGTGTCGTCTACCTGGTTGGGGCCCACGAGATGGTATTAACCGATGGTTAGAGACCTTGAATGACATGGCTCAGAATCGTTTGCGATGGCGCAGGTGCATCCACTCTTTGTGTTCTCTCTAATTCTAACCTTCTGAAATCCTCATAACCTTCACCTTTCTCTTTCTTAAGTCATCTCACTGAATTATACTTCTTGAATAATTTCTTCGAACCCTAATCTCTTCCATTATGGGATTTGAACTGACAGTTGCATCTCTGTGCTAATGTGGTATGGCAACTTAAACTTATGTACTCATGTACGAAGTTCTACATTGCAACTGACTGACTGAAAACAACAAAATCACCATCAATAAAAACAAACTAGAACACAATATTCATGAAGTTGGATAATAGCAAGTAGTGGTATTCAGAATGCGCATTTCATTCTATAGTAGGACTAGTCAACTGAATGTACTTGTCACGTTCTAGTGTTCATATTTCATACTAGCACTTGAATACTGAACAACTATCTAAGTTTACTAAAACTGATGACTATATGACAATATCAAGGGATGATACATGCATATAGGCTACAGGAGACAAATCTCTTATAGTCTATAAACATCAAAACCAAAAAAGCGAAAATAAATTAAAAATTAAATATCATTCTAATTGATAATAATAATAATAATAATAATAATAATAATAATAATAATTCATTACTTGTAATCGTCTTTTTTCTTTTCTTTGTTGTTCACGAAAATGATTATCGGAATCAACAAAATTATGAATAAAATCATCATCACGTGTTTGACGTATTTTCAAATAAATCTCTACAACAGGTGACCATGGTACAAGTTCTGTTCTAGTATATTGATGTCCATCTTCTGAATAAGTACGTATAATACGTAACATTTTCTTAGTAACATTAGGCCAAGGTGGTGTCAAGTCTAAAATTGTTCCAGCTGCAGTAGCACTAGCATCATATATCATATTGGTACTATTATTACTATTACTATTATTATTACCAGTAACAGTGGAACTAGTTTCATTGGATTCTAATCCAGTTGATAATGCACTATTATCTTTCAATTGAAGTTGATTTGTTTTACGCGGTCGTTTCAATCCAGATACATGATCCTGTTGAAAATAGGGAATAAAATAATGTAGTGTAGTTTTAGTTAGTTAAGTTTGTTTCAATGATATTTTTGTTGAATAAATGTTAGGATATTCATCCAACATCCTAAGAGAATTATTGGTCAATTCCTATTAGTTAACTCCTATTGGTCAATTTTATGGTCGTCCTAGATATCGATGTCACGTGCTCCAATCTTGTTTCTTATTGGTTGTCCTGACTATCAATGTCACTTCAAATGTTGCTTCTTATTGGTTGGCTTTACTGTCAATGTCACAGACTTCAATGCTGTTTCTCATTCGACCAAAATGTATGAATACGCAAGATCTGTAAAGTTTTATCACCACGACCAGGATCCGGTCCCGGATCCCTAGTCCGGGATCCTGATTTTCTTCTGGATTCGGATCTCGTAATTTCTGGATGCTTGTAGAATACAGGTTCTACTTCATATCATATCTTCTTATATTCACCCAATATGGGGGTTGGGATAATCGGATTAGAGTAGCATGTCGTGTCGCCGGATCCTCGCTCTCGTTTTCCGACTAGGTAAACTCGTAATAGTTCAAGTATATCAAGTTGATGTGTTTACGTTCAGGCGTAACAATAAATACTAAGCTATTTTTAGCTAGAGCATCATAGAAAACATAGAATAACTAGGAGGTTGTTTCATCCTAGTACGGGACTCTGCAGTAGAGTGCAACCAAGACACCTCGTCCTGGAATCAAACCCGGGACTCTCACCTCGACTTTGTGTAAGAACACCGGCACCCAACGATGTTAATGTTTAATTTCAATCAACTCATGATATTTACAGTTCAGTGGGTCTTGAAGTTAAGCGTCCGCACTCGAAACTGAAGGTCCTCAATTCGAAAAAAAGACGCTGGATTGTGGATGTTCAGTGCTGAACAGTCCCATAATTGTATGAAACGACTGTTCCATGTCTTCAAGGTTTTCGATAGTAATCCAACTAAAATCAGTTCGGATGAAAAAAGAAACCAATTCTTCAAACAAACAAACAAACAAACAAATAAACGAAAGAAAATACAACAGTTAAACTTACTCCAGATTCTAAAGCACGTTTTAAATTGACACGATCTTTTTCATCATTTTTAGAATTCATCTGATTCATATGAGCATAAGAACGTGCAGTGGATGATAAACTCGAGAGTCGTACACCACCAATAGAATTGCTTGATGATGTTGTTGTTGTTGTATGCGAACTATGTGAACCTAGTAAATTTGATCGATGCTGACCAACACTATCTGCCCCGGTGACTTCATCTTCATCATCTTCACTGCTTACTTCTTCATCTGAACTTAAAAGTTCCGAATTCGATAGGACACGATTTTGTAAATCAAATATACGTTGACATTCTTCTTTGTAACAACGAATTTGTTCACTGATTGATAGACGATTACCACGAGCAAATTTAGCAGATCCTTCTTCTTCACCTTGTTTAGCTCGTTCAGTTGATGTGAAACGAACCATATCAATGATTTCCCAACTAATTAATTAAAGTTAAAAGGAAAAACCATATTTGCAATGAAACAATAGACTGACTATGCGGACGAAATACATAGGTTGATGCGATATAATTATTTTTCTATGTAAATATGGTTACAGGCTGAAATGTGTGAATACGTAGTAATTTGAGTTCGGGACTCGAAAATCTGACGTTATGTTTGTTAATATTAGATATACTCTTAATGGGCAAGGGTAGTTTTGCATTGGTTTTTAGGAGAACTAGACACCCTTATGGACCATTCATACAATTTATATACACTAGTACAACATATATAGTGATTATTTCCAATCCATGATTGCGTCAATCAATATGCACAGCCGGTTTGGTCCATCCCGCCTACATGACTGTCAAACTCATTATTATTAGCAATAATGATTGATATGCATCAATACAGCACTCTCAATGACAATGGCCCTCAGGAATTTCGCAAGAAAACCTACCAGTAGTATCAATGAAATCGGTCACCCTGCCAGCCCGACTTGTATATGGACAATTAGCAAAACTTGCACAGCAAAGTAATCCCGAACCATCCACAATGTTCACAGAGAACCTCTGGTCTCATAGGAAACCTTCAGTTCCGTATAGAAATATAGTGTCAGGTACTTGTGGAGTTGCACCATAGGATTCAACTGTCCTATACAGGTTGTAGTGTTAACACCTAGACAGTGTCCGGTTCTCCTGAAAACCAATATGAAACCAACCCTTGTCCATTGAGGGCAAATTTACATAATCGTGAACTGACAATCGACAGAAGATAAAATATTTTCAATTAAAGATAAATTTTGTTGAATTACAGACGTCTGTGTAATTGTATTCCTTCTTAGTTTGGTTGAGAAGCGCAAAAACATCTAGTTTTTGGTACTTTATCAACTCCGCCTGTAGATCCTTTGAGGGATACTGCCGATCCTGAGAGAGAGAGACCTTGAATGACATGATTCAAAATCGTTTGCAATGGCGCAGGTGCATTCACTCTCCATGTTCCCTCAAATCCTAACCTTCAGAGTCCCTCATCACCTGTATCTTTTTCTTTTTAAGTTTATTTCACTAGATTCTACTTCTTGAATAATATCTTCGGACAGTAATCTGTCCGATTACTGCTAATACTTCTACTACCTTTACTACTATGGGATTTGAAGTGACAGACAATTGCATCTCGGTACTAATGTGGCATGGCAACTCGAACTGATGTACGTACGTACATACGAAGTTCTACGTGGCTGTTGAGCACTTTATTATATGTTAAGTATAAGTAGTCAATATTATTAAGTAATAAAGTTTTTTTTTCATTACCGTTTGAAAGTTTTCAAATCCGCTTCACTAATTCCAAATGATCTTAGCAAAGCACGAGCATCACGTAAATGTAACTTGCGTAGATCCGCGTCAGTTCCAGTGACAGTACGTTTCCCATTTAATAAACCTCTTGCAACTTCACCACCAGCTTGACGAAATAATGCACCAGGTTTAGCGGAAGTTTTCGAATAAGAAAACGCTTCACCACAACCAGTTGGATCTGCAGCACCATGTAATTCAAGAAAACAACCACCACGTTGTGAGGCGAGATAAGCACGTGTTGTATTCCATGGTGCTGCTCTTACTTCATCTTCCATTTTAGGCTTTTATTTTGAAATCGGATTGAAAATTGAAATAGCAATAATAGCAATAATAATAATAATAATAATCAAAATCAAACCAAAATAAAACTCAAAGCATACATTGCTAGATAAGAATAGCGGGACAACAGTTTCAACAAAGCTTAACAGTAGACGCGACAATAGAAAATAATTTAAACGTATTAAAAGTGTAAAATATTGAGGATTTTTAATTTTGAAATTATGAACTTGCCTAAATCCAAACTTGTACATTATATAAATATAAATTGTGGAATTTCAGTCCTTTACGATAAAGGTATGTACTTTAATGAGAAATAAGTTACAAGTACCAAATGAATTTCTATCATAATGTTAGGATATGCATCCAATATCCCTAAGAGAATCATTTGTAAGTCTAATTCTATTGGTCGTCCTAACTGTCAATGTCACATACTTCAATGTTGTTTCCTATTCAACTTAACTGCATAAATACGCATTATCTGTAACGTCTTATGACCCGGATCCTCAGTCCGGGATCCTAATTTTCTTCTGGACGAGGTTCGAACCTCGTACTTTCTGGATGCTTGTCGAATACATGCTCTACTTCATATCAAGTCTTCTTCTTTTACTCAATGGGGGCTGGGGACGCTCGGATTAGAGTAGCCTGTCGTGTCGCCGGATCATCGATCCTCGCTCTCGTTCACCGACTACAGTGAACTCGTAATAGTTCAAGCATATCAATCTGATGTGATCACGTACATTCGTCACACATACACAACATACACGACAAATTAACAACATATTGACGAAACTGTACGTTCCGTATTTTTTTACGATCAATAGTTTTTTTTTATTACTGGATAATTAGTTATCGCGTAAGTAGTATAAAAGTGTCAACAACACTGAGAAGTTAGAAGACAGATATTGTTATTTAAGAAAGTGATTTAGATTTTGTGGGTTAAGAAAAAACAAAAAGCCACAACCGCAATCGCAATCGCAAATACAAAAAAAATTGATTAAAGATCAAACGTTAGTTAGATGGTTATTTATTGATTGGAAGCACAGAGAAGAAGACGCTTACCGGATTGTTTGCACCAGTCTCAATAGGGAAAAATACATATATAATATAGGTAAGCGATCATAAGTATTGTGGAATAATAGGATTGGAGGAGGGTTTGCATTGTCGAAGCAAATATCATTATATATATATATATATATATATATATAAACAAGTGTCCACTCTCTTTCGATGAAAGACACATTTCAACTCTTTACCTGTAATTCCTCTAAAAAAGCCTAAAACTAGACAGAACCTTTATGGATCATTGATATTGAGTTGATGGGTTAAAATTGAGTGATTAGAATTTCTAATTTGAGTTAGTTCATTATATGATCAAACATTCTCTTCACATTCACACTTTTACAAGGTATGTGATAAGTAAAGTAGGTAGGCGGCAAATAATAACATACCAAGCGTTAAATGTAATCTAACTAGTTTTCAAATAATTCTGTGAAATAAATTGATTCAGACAAAGATATTAGATTTTATTTTGTATATTTTGTAAAGGGAAAGGAGAGAAAACAAAATGTTTAACTGAAAGGAAACAACATGATATTACAATATAAATTGTCGTCAATATCTGGCATAGTTTGAAGAAACACTTTACTTTAATCTAAAACACCTTGGGTAATGAGAATAATTATGATGATGTAAGATGAATAGAACGTGGGAACTGGATTAGATTTTCAATTATCAATGTGTCCCGAATTCAGTAATTTTGCGATACAGTGGTGCAACAACTACCAACTAACAAGTAACACGTGAATTTATAGGTTGTTTAATTGACAGAAAAATCTGAAGTTTTTGATAACAAATGTTAATTTTTTCCAACGTAACAATAACACCGAATGGATTTTCTGAAATTTATATTTTCCAATGAGTTTTATTATTGTTTTCTGGGACCCGAAATAACTATCAATAAACGCCGAAGTCAGAATTTTCAATACAAATGTCAAGACAGTTCTACTGTATGGAAAACTACTAAAGCCATCATCCACAAGATACAAGTATTCATTAACAGTTTCCTACGCAAAATACTTCGGATTCGTTGGTTAGACACTATCAACAACAACTTACTGTGGGAGAGAACAAACCAGATTCCAGTGGAGGAGGAAATCATGAAGAAGCGGTGGAAGTGGGTAGGACACACTATGAAAAGCACCTAACTGCGTCACAAGACAAGCCCTCACATGGAACCCTCAATGTAAAAGGAAAAGAGGAATGCCAAGGAAAGCATTACGCCGAGAAATAGAGACAGACATGAGATGAATGAACAAAAATTGGACAGAACTGGAAAGGGAGGGCCCAAGAAAGAGTAGGTTGGAGAAAACTGGTCGGCGGCCTATACACACCAATGGCGTTAACAGGCATAAGTAAATTTATTGTTTTTTCTAACTGATCATTATCAATTGATCAATTTTATCAATGTTTTGACTTCTGTAGGGAGGGGATATTAAACCATGATTGAAAATCCTAATTTCTAATCAATGAATCAATCAGTCAATCAATCAATCAATCAATACACACATACCTGTCCTTCTTTATCCTCTTCTTCTTCAGCTTGATTATCATCCAAAACAAATAAATATTTCTCACCGTAACCAGCATCTTTAAGACGTAATTCAGCAGCTAACATACTATAATGTGCACAACAATCTTCCGGTGAAACTAAATAACGAACTTCTTCTTCCGATGGTAAACGATAATCCGATCGTAGAACCCACCAACTTGCATCGGAACCTGATTTAATTTAATAATGTCGGAAAATTTTTTTGTTTAAAGCGTAGCTTAACGTTGATACAGATTTCATATTAGGAAAGTTGTATTATGGTAAGTAAAAATAAAGAATCCGATTATACAAACAAGTTTTGATCTTATTGTTAATAGTTTGGAAATGTTTCAGGTTATCTAGTTTTTGATTTTTGCATTATAGTATTATGGACATCGTTGTTTTAGATTGAAATCATGAATGAATCATCGCTAGACTGTTTCGTCCTAGTATGGGACTTATCAGCAGTGCGCGTCTACGACCCCTGCTATTCACATGATTCGAATCCAGGACCTTGGGTCTTGCGCGTCAACGCATAACCTCTGGACCACTGAGCCGGCATCAAAAGGTGTTAATGTCTAGCTCTGATCAATTTAAGGATTTTTGCGCAACCTCACTCATTGTCTTCGGTAGTTACTGCCTACACTCGACAGGGCTGAATTCTACTGGTCAAGTCTTCTCACTAGAACTCCAAGAATTTCCTCACGAAGCTAGTCAGTAGTGAGTACTTTTTTTATTTTATATTATAGTAACAACACTTTTCACAGCTGACTGCTTTTATCACAGACTAAGATTTTTAAGAAGGAAGTAACTTCGCTCCGAATAGTTGGATGTAGTCGATTTTCAACCATTTATGCTGTATTGTTTCGAATAAGGAATGAAGAAATGTATCAAACAAAATGAAGTGACAGTATTGTGTAGAACAGAAAATGGCAACTTTTTGTTTCAGGATTTATGTCACGGACTAATATTAGTCAAAAAACTAATGAAAAGTAGGCACCACTGGACAGTTGCTTAGTCCTGATTTTAGACCCTTCGGAAGTGTGCATCCGCGATGTAAACACAGTAATGGTGATCATATGTTTACTAGTAACTAGCATAAAGATAGTTCCCAGAGTTTTGATAAAAGACTGTGACCGGTGGAATTCAACCATTGAAATACGATTGCGCAAAATCGAGAGTCGATTGATGCTAGAAATATAAACCGTTGGATACCTGATACAGAGGAGTAAAGGTTATGCACTAACTGAAAGACCTGAAGGTCTTGAGTTTCATCTACGGTAGAGTCATCGATGATACTGATGAGTTCCACTATAAGATGAAACAGCTGTTTAGTGCATCCTGCTTTTCATTGGTTGTTTAGAACCAGTTTGTGCCTATGGAGATTGTTTATCTATTGAAACTGACATAATGTTCATTGGAAAATTGAATAATAGTGACATTAATCAAAAGCCGGTAAGAGTTTGTTGAAAGTTATATTCAAAATAATAATAATAATAATAACTATGACAACATACCAGTACGTTTGAAATCAGCACAAACTTTTAATCGTTTTCTAACACTACTTTCTGAATGATTAGGAAAAGCTTTACGTATCTCTTCCATTTTAATTCGTTTCGGTTCATCGGTACTACGTAAAAATAAACGTAGAATAAATACTTGTAGAAAATCTCGTACAAAATTATTAGCACGTTTTGAATTTGGTCCAGGTACTTCCATAAGTGGAACTTCTTGTCCTACAGTAAATGCATTCGGGACACGACGTATACTAATTCCATTACGATTACGAATTAATAAGAAATCTGTATTAGCAACTGTATGTGGATAAATTGGTGCACGATACATACTATTTTCAACGGACTGAAAGAGAGAGAAGAAGAGAAATTGACAAATAAAAATATGAAATGTGACATGATGAATTCAGAAAAATTACCAGTGATTTGATAATGTTGCATTTTATTGATATGCTAGTATGCTATTACGAGTTCACCTTACTCGGTGAACTGGGCGTAGATAAATGATGCAGTGACACGATAGGCTATTCTAAGCCGATTGTCCCAGGCTCTGCTAACTAGAGGAAGAAGTCTTGATAAGGCGTAGAAAATGTATTCTACAAGAACCCAGAAAATTCGAGGTTGTTAAACACACAAAATAAGCTTATTTATAAAATGATAGCAACGCCCTTGGGAGGGAGCCATAAAATAGCGTACTAAAATAATCCATCAACCAATGACAGTCAAGGATTTTCCGAGTAGGAAATGTAAGCTCAAGATCAAAGTGCGCGTCTTGTGCGCGAAAACATTGAAAAAAATCGAAATTTCAGAACTAAATTACAGAATTAGGACCCTTTTGAAGTGAGTTCTGGGGATACAACGTCTCCAACAATTAGTAAATACAATAGAACACGTTTATGAATGAAAGAAATTAATTGACAAGAAATTAGTTCAAGTGAACCTGTAACAAGTCATACAATACAATAGTTATGTGGCCAACTCCAGACCAGAATCATCGGAAGAAATTTTGCTTAGAACTTGTAAATCGTTCCAAAAAACACTTGAATTCACTAGCTCTGAATTACATTACTAGATAATTGATTCCTGAGATCATACTACATAAAATTATATCAATATTACATCAATGACTAATTTAGTCATAATCAGTGAGGATCTACCTCACAGAGAGAGAAAATTAAGCACTAATGGAGAAGATTAGGGCATAATTCAGTGAGATAACTATAGAAAGAGAAACAAAGCGATGATGAAGAATGCAGAAGGTTAGAATTTGAGAGAACACAAAGAGTGAATGCACCTGAGCCTTGCAAACGATTTTGAGCCATGTCGTTCAAGGTCTCTAACCATCGATTACTATCGTCTCGCGGACCCCAAGCAGGCAGTCGACAGTTACCAACATGACTCAGTCCACTTGTCAGTGATTTCATGGAATTCTGCCATGTTTTGGTCTGGCCGCCTCTAGCTTTCTTCCAACCTATTCCTACACCACAAAACATAACTCGATGATGCAGTCGGTGGTTAGGCATATGTAATACATGTCCTAACCACCTCAACTGATGAAATTTCAATACTTCATCTATTTATTTGCCATCCCTACCTAGTACTCGTTTCCTAACGACAGCATTTCTCACTCGGTTGTCCCATGATATACGAGCGATGTTTCGGAGACATCTACGATCGAAGACAAGCAATCTACAAATGTCCTCTACTCTCACGGACCATGTTTCGCATCCGTATAGTAGGACAAAGCGAACTAATGCGTAGTACACTAGTCCTTTGATTAGCAAACAGATATTACGCCTGCGCTATAGGTGACGCAAGTTGGCAAAAGCCAATCGAGCTTTCTGTATCCGTGCTGAGATTTCGTCAGTCATCAGGCCATCAGCACTGATGAAACTCCCCAGATAATGAATGATAGAAATGTTTTGGTCATTCAAGCTATTTCATCAAAGATATCAAAGTAGAAACATGAATTATACAATACTTCACATTACTACTACTACTACTACTACCTGTGTGAGTACATTATTAGTATGTGATATATAAAAGTGAATGACTCTCATTCCATCGATTTTTCAGTTATATATATATATTAAAATATGAACAAGTTAATAAGAAACGTTGTGAATCAAAGCTACGCTTAGTATTATTCCTATGAAAAATAATGAACGTTACTACATAGATCAACAAATACCAAGGAATATTCATTGACTAATGGGATAAAAATAAAACTGTTGACGATAAATACAAAGCTAATAATAATAATAATAAAAATCATTAAATGTTCAAATACTTGTAAACAACCACCAGGTCGAATAACACCAAGAAATGGACTGTCTGAACCGCCTACATACACAAGAGAACCATAAGGTAGTTCTGGTGGTTCCGTATAAGCATGCGGAGATGGTGAAAGTGATCTGTCTCTAGGAACCAATGGACGATAATAATTTATAATTCGTGTAGCCATACCAACCTAGAATTTGAAGGGAAAAGAACATGAATATAAGATAAGATTACAATGGTAAATGAATGGAGATATAGTTGGCAAGATGATACTGTTACGCATGTGCACGTAAACAGGTCAATTTGATATGCCTGAACTATTACGAGTTTATCTTGGTCGGAAAATGAGGGCGAGGATCCGGTGACACGACATGCTACTCTAATCCGAGTGTCCCCAACCCCCATTGAGTGAAATAAGAAGACTTCATATGAAGTAGAACCTGTATTCTACAAGCATCCAGAAAGTACGAGGTCCGAGTCCAGAAGAGAATCAGGATCCCGGATTAGGGATCCGGGTCATAAAACATTACAGATAATGAGTATTTAAATATTTAAGTCTAATAGGAAACAGCATCGAAGACCGTGAAATTGACAGTCAAGACGACCAATAAGAAACAACATTGGAGTACGTGGCATTAATGTCTAGGACGACCATAAATTTGGCCAATAGGAATTGACCAATAATTCTCTTAGGATACTGGATGAATATCCTAACAGATACCCTGAAAACTGACATCATATCTCAACATACTGAATGAGATATTGAATCAGTTAGACTAGTGATCAAGTAACAATATTAGACAAACATGACACTGATCAATACTAAGTAATCAATCAATTATCAGATTAATGATTAGAAATTAGATATGTCCTTTTATCATATAAAGGATGAATTGATGTGATCAGGTAAATATAGCTTAGTCATTGATTCAGTAATTTCAATATTGATATGTCAGTAGGTTCATTTACATTATTTTTGAGAATGATAATCATATCAAATTGGATAGTAAAGGTTGCAGAATTCCGGTCGACCATCTAAGCTCCATGAGGGGTAACAGGCATAAGTAAACTAGTGAGGATAATAAAGACCTGCTAATGTTCAAATTTTTATTCATTAATTCATCGATGTTAGGCCACCATTAAAAACCTGCAAGCACTAAGTGCCCGTTTCGTACTGGTGTGGGACTCATCAGCACTGCGAACCCACGATTCCTGCGCCACGCAGGATTCGAACCCAGGTCCTTCAATTTTGCGTGCGAACGCCTAACCTCCGAACCATCGAGCCGGTATCTAACGACGTTGATCAATTCACGACCTTGCGCAACCAAGACCGAATGTCCCGGTGCGAGGTTGACGAGTCCTATACCAGGACGATATGGCCATCCAATGCTTCCGTATTTCTAATGATAGTCTAACAGTGACCAACTAATGATTTCAACATGTAACTCAACAATCTCCACAACCCCATAATATAAAATTCATTGAGATAACACAAATAAATAAATAATTAACCAAATTGAGAAGTTACATAATGTGACAACAATGTTTAAAAATAAAAATGAAAAACGAATACATTATATGAGTGAGTACCTGAGCTAAAAGAGGTGGATATTCTTCAGAAAATTCAAATAGAACAATCTCTCCATCTGAACCAGATAAATCATTTGGTGTTCTCATGAAGAATATTTCACCACCACCGGTAGCTGCTCGTTCATCTTCACGTTCACGCATTTTACGATGAATATGACGTGTAAGATTAGTCACAGGAAATGGTACATTATATTGTGACATTGGACCACGAAGATATCTACAAAATGATTGTGTTTTTTTGTTGTAAAGTCATAAGAATTCTTAGTAAGCCTAGTTAACTTGTAAAAGAAATTCATACAGAATTCAATGTTCATTTTATTTACTATATGACCTGGTGAACAGATTCAATAAGCTGGTGATTGTATTGTTATGTTGTATATGCCTGTTACTCCCAATGGAGCATAGGCCACCGACCAGTTTTCTCCAACCAACTTTCTTTCCAGTTATTGTTCATTCTTCTCATGTCTTTTTCTATTTCTCGGCGTAATGTGTTCCTTGACCTTCCTCTTTTCCTTTTACCTTGAGGGTTCCAGGTGATTAAATGGTAAATATTCGATGACCACTTCTTTTTAGTTTGTAATCTTACTGGTTGTCTATGAAACAGATTGAGATGTGTGCCTACTATGATGTGCTTTAATTTTATGTTGATCGAGGGAATCGAAAAAAATTCCCCCGGTTCAAACCTTGCTAAACCTATTTTGGTTTGGGTAGCCAATTAGAATAGTTAGCCTTTACAGGTAATGTGTGCCTCACAACCATACATACCTGGTGAGTGATTACATCTTCTAGTCTCAAATTGAGGTTTGGTCATGGTTGATGTTAATCAGCAAAGTATAACTGTATTTATCGTGAAGTAACAGAAATTTCCTAAATGATTTTTTCAAGCATCGCCACCAAGATTTACAATTACATGGTGTTATGATCGTCATTAGGTATGCTTGAAACTATTACGGGTTCACCTTAGTTGATAAACGAGAACGAGACAATGAACCAGAGTCCAGATAGGCTACCCTGATCTGTTGACTAACGAAAAGTCTTGAAATAGCGTAGAATATATATTCTACAAACACCCAGCAAGCACAGAGCAATGAAGCACACAACTCTCGTTTATTCATACATCATAGAGACATTCTTGGGAGAGTCATAAAAATAGCACAATAAAATACACGGCAACCAATCACACCCAAGGATTTTCCTGGTGGGAAGAGCAATCTCACGGTCAACTGATCAGCCCATGCTCAGAAACATAAAATCCAAAATTAAGGCATTTATCAAGCGAGTTCTGGGGATCTAACGTTCCCGACACATGGGTTACTATTACTGAGTTGTTCAGATTAATATGATACTTCAGCTTCTCATTTTTGAAAAAATCTTTTTAATCAAAAATTACAATGTGACATTGAAAAGTTAGAAGTGAAGAGAATCTTAATGCATTATTTAGTCAGATTTTCAGGAACAGCATATTAGATAGGAAGTTCAACTTTTAGCTAAGTTTTATGTGTTGATAAATTATCAGCCAGGCTTATGTATAACGTTGATCAAACAAAAAGTAATGAATATGGAGCGTAAAATACAGATGGGAATTAGATACCATGTACTATATATATAACTCCGCCTGGAGCCCCTCTGGGGCTACTCCTAGTCTCAAGTCCGGATAAAGGAGGAGGGTTGGGCTTGGCGACCCCACCCCGTAGAAAACTAACTCGTTAAAAAACGGCTAACGAGAAAACATAATAGTACATATTTCAATCTTGTAGGTTTTACGTGGCCCGAATAGTCTCATATTACGGTGGATGAACTGGGTTCGAATCCTACATGAACAACCAGTTCCCTCAGAACAGGAGACATATCTAGTTGACAAGCGCCAATTAGTACGAAACCTAATTATTTCCTGCCAACTACCTTCATTCATCTAACATATATAGCGCACACAATTTTAAGGCTAGTGGCAATAAAGCAACTTGATCGACACAGTTTGGTAAGTACTAAAGGACTAAACAGATATGACAGTGGTCACTACCCAGTGATTAACCAATAATATACGTATACATAATGACTAATATGTTTATTCCTCAACTAAAGGTTTCATACAGCTTGTAATTTACTAATCAGATTCATTTTCTTTCGTTAAACTTCTCGAATCATAATCTTTGAACCTTAATATTCTCCATTAACGCTAATATTTCTTCTACCTCTCTACTGATATGGTATTTGAGTTGACAATTGCATCTCTATATGCTAATGTGGTATATCAACTTAAAGTGATGTACGTACATACCCTAGGGATAGCAAATTAATAGATGAAGTATTGAAACTTCATCAACTGAGGTGGTTAAGACATGTGTTACGAAGACTCAACGACTGACTGCCTAGACGAGCGATGTTTTGTGGTGTAGGAGTAGGTTGGGAGAAAGTTAGGAGTGGCCAAACAAAGACGTGGCACAAATACATGAAATCACTGAGAAGTGGATTGAGTCATGTTGGTAAGTGTCGGCTACCTGGTTGAGGCCTACCAGATGATAGTAATCGATGGTCAGAGACCTTGCATGACATGGCTCAAAATCGTTTGCAATGGCGCAGGTGCATACATTCTTTGTGTTCTTTCAAATTGCAACCTTCTAAATTCCTCATAATCTCTTTGTTTCTCTTTCTAAAGTTATCTCACTGAAGTATACTTCCTGAATAGTATATTCGCGCCTTAATCTTCTCCATTACCGTTAATACTTGAACTGACAATTGCGTCTCAGTGCTAATGTGGTATGTCAACCTGAATTGATGTACTTACGTACAAAGTTCAAAGTTGTAATTGACGTACATACCCAGTTCTACGTTGTAGCTGACTGACTGACTGACAGTGATTCATTGTTTTTTGTATTTCACAAAAAGTATTTGAAACAATAAAAATGAAATTCAAGTCAACTTGAAGCAATCAATAATTTTAGAATATGATCAATGTTTATATATACTATTTAAGTACAAATTTTGAACAATTCAAAAAAAAATAACTAACCTTTTTAATGGTACCCTATGAAATTGACGTAAACGTAATGGACTCATATAAGTTGGGAAAAATGGTGGCCATAACTCAACTGCTGGTGTACTATGCTGTAATGGACCACAACGTGCTAAACCACCTAATGCAAGAGCACCACTACGAATGGCATAATATTCATCATTGGATAAATTTAATGGATCTTTTGGTGGAATACCAGAGACAGCTGCTGCAGCTGATGCTAACGTATTACCGTCGGCATTAAATTCATTCGCCTCTTGTAGTTGTTGTTGTTGTTGATCATTTTTATCATCTGTATTATTATTATTCATATATTTTTCTGTTTGGCTAGATTGCCAATCATCTTCAGCTAAAAGACCATGCTATTCGAATAAATAAATGAAAAATAGGATAGATTGTTAAAAAAGTTATAAAATATTACATGGTACTTTAAGTGAAATTCAAGTAAATGCATAAATAGTTTGCCGATTTAAAGTAGTGACCGTAATAAATGATCTTAAATTAACATTGTGAATCAATTAGCGTTAGACCGCCATTAGAAACCTGGAAGTACTGGACGGCCGTTTCGTCCTGGTATGGGACTCATCAGCATTGCGCGTCCATGACTCCGGGAATTGATCAAGCTAGACATTAACACCGTTAGATACCCGCTCAGTGGTTTAGACGTTAGGCGTTCGCGCACAAAACCGAAGGTCCTGGGTCCGAGTCCTGCGGAGTGCAGGAGTCGTGGATGCGCACTGCTGAAGCTAAGTCCCATACCATGACGAAATGGCCGTCTTTCAATGCTTCCCGGTTTTTAATGGTGGTCTAACATTGATCGATTCATGGTTTCAAAATGTGTAACTTAACAATATTCACAACCTCGTAATAGGTATAGTCAGTTAGGTACAACGTAGGTCTTCGTACGTATGTACATCAGTTCAAGTTACTATACCACATAAGCACAGAGATGTAGTTGCCAATTCAAATCCATAAGGGGTAGAAGAGGTAGAAATATTAGCAGTAATGGAGAAGATCGAAGAACTGATTCAAGAAGTATAATCCATTGAAATGAATTTTTTTTAAAAGAGGGAAAAGGTTATGAGGAATTCAGAAGATTAGAATTTGAGAGGATACAAAGAATGGATACATCTGCGCCATTCCAAAAGATTATCAGCCATTTCATTCAAATCCTCTAACCATCGGTTACTATCATCTCGCGGACCCCAACCAAGTAGTCTACATCTACCAACATGACTCAGTCCACTTGTTGGTGACTTCGCGGATTTGTGCCATGTTTTGGTTTGCCAGTTCCTAGCTTTCACCCAACCTACTCCTACATCACAAAACATCGCTCGTCCAGGCAGTCAATGGTTGGGCATTCGTAATACATGTCCCAACTATCTCAACGGATGAAGTTTCACAACTTCATCTACTGATCTGTCATCCATGCCTAGTACTCGTTTCCTAACGACAGCATTGCTTACTCGGCTGTTCAGTACTTCATCAACTGATCTGCCATCTTTACCTAATACCGTCTTCATAAACCCAGGATATACAAGCACTTCTTCGAAAATACCTATGATCAAATACTAGTAACTTACACAAAAATATGTGAGTGATTGTTAAATTATTAATACACAAGTTAGGATGAGAAATTTGTAGAGAGTGTTCAGTTCGAAAATAAGGTTCTCATCCTGAAGACTAAAATGTAACCATACAACTATCGAAGTGCTGGATACTTGTTTTTGATCTTAGTTTGTGAATATTTACCCGATTATTATTTTAAAGAAATTCTTAGATATCACAATGTAACGCATAACACATATAATGTAATTACAGTAAAGAGTGGGGGATGGGAGGGAACAGAGAAAGCAAATCAACAAAAGTTAAATACATTATTTATCAGTGTAACTTACTTTACCCAAAATCATTTTAACTTTTTCAGCACCTTTCTCAGCTTTAGCTAATGCCCCAGTGAACATACCACGTGTTGATGCCAGTCCAAAATTCACTTGAAGACTAGTACGATTCATTGAATTAGATTTATGCTGAGATAAACTATTATCATGATCTATATTAGACCAATGGTTATCTTGACTAGTTGAAATATTATTACCATTAATATTACCACGTTGATTAAGACCAATTGTATTACTATTATTGATTGATGATAATGAATTTGAATAATCACCTATAATTGTTGTAGATGTTGTAGTTGCATTAGTTGTCATCATTGTTGTTGCTGTTGTTATACCCACATTGGATACATTATTGGAATCCGATTCTGTACTGTCAACATAACCTCGATGCATTAAACGTTTCTGTCGTTGATTACGTATTGATGATAAAACTGCAGCTATGGTTGAATCATCAATTGGTTCCAATATACACATTTCATCATTTTGATCTAATGTCAATAGAAATGGTGGAGGTTGTTGATCAATTGGTAAATCCGAATCATAAATTATATCATGTACCCAATTATTATTGAGTATATTTTCATTTTCAATTGGAAATATTGAATAAGGTGGATGATTTGAATTAGTAATGGTGTATTGTAATGATGTAGTGGTGGAATTTTTCAATGAATGATTTAATAAACTATCCATAATCATACCAGTTGTTGATGATACAGATGTAGTTAAACCATTGATTACTTTGGAACTTAATATAAATGGAAATTTGCCTTGATATGCATCCTAATTGAAATAAGAAGAGTTCGATTGAATGGTTAGTCGGAAAAAACAAAAAACTGCGCTGCCTTGTACTGCACTGCTTTTCTTCCCCGTCTCATGGAATAAAGAAATATTATTGCTATACTTCCTTGAAATGAAATTCATTGTACAAATTAGGTGCTTAATTATTTTTAATGGACAGTTGCGCTATAATTGTAATTATAGACAGTCAATAATAAATATTCAAAGATTTACATGTTTTAATTCAATGCAACACAGAATTATTCAGTGGTGTATAGAGCATTAAAAAAAGAAAACATTTCAATTAGACTGATATATAACAAGAGAGGTAAGATTAAAGCGATTAAACTCAGAAACAAGATATTTATGCTTGAAAGTGTTGGGGATGTTAGATCCCCAAAACTCGCTTGATAAATGCCTTATTTTGCATTTCACGTTTGCGAGTATGTGCTGATTAGTTGACCTTGAGATTTCATTTCTCACCAGCGAAATCTATGGCTGTGATTGGCCGCTGTGTATTATTTTAGTGTGCTATTTTCGTAACCGTCCCAAGGATGTTTCTATGATGTATAAATAAACGAGAGTTGTATGCTTGATTGTATCGTGATTGCTGGGTAATTGTAGAATATACTTTCTACGCTTACAAAGCCTTTTGTCTTAAGCTTGGAATTCAAGGTAGCCTATCTGGACGCTGGTGCATTGTCTCGTTCGCGTTTATCGACTAAGGCGAACTCGTAATAGCTTCAAGCGTACCAAGTGACGAACATAATAGAAACAATGATGAAGACAATGACGATGACAACAAAGATGACTGTTTTTTACCGAGTACAAGTGAAGAAATTATGAAGTAATACAAAGAGAGCAAGTACGCAATTGATGTTACATAGGTTAATAGTAATTAAGATAAAGGTCAATAGGTTACTGTAGTTGGAGATTGTATAAAAAAGATTATGCCATGCCCACAGTTTATATATATATATATATATATATATATATACTGAACTAGTCATATTTATAGTATGAAGATTAGTGTTGGTCTTAACGACCTAGGAGCGCGACCGTAGAATCCAAGGAACAACTGCTTGAGGTCGGTCACGCACGGCCTTTTTATGAGTTTTTGCGAAGTGTTAGCTCCAATCTTGTTCAAAAGGCCTTACCGCCGGAGACAGAAATCCGTGAGGTAAGGTGAGGTGTGACAACTTTAGGGTCGAGCTAATTTAACCCCTTCCTTATTTGTGAGAAGGCAGCATCGCTGTAGATGCTGCTTGTCCGAGGGAAACACATTACTGCTGTCACATCCCTCTACAAATATTCTCCATTACTGCTAATTCTTCTACTATCTCCACCACTACGGGATTCGAACTGATATTTGCGTCTCTGCGCTGTGGTATGTCAACCTGAACTTATGTACTTACGTACAAAGTTCTACCTTGTAACTGAGATAGTATGAAGTTAGTTTATCCAAGAAACTATTCCTATGAACAGAATAAGAGTGAGCTAGATTTCGAGGGGCGGGGGGTTCCACTACCTGATTGCATTCACTATCTAACGGGAACATTGAACTCTGTGTACAGTTCATATATTAATGAAACAGAAGATTTAAAATTCTTAAAAAAGCCCATTCAAGCATCTTGTATAATAAGAACTGTCTTACAATAAAAGTACAATTGCAGCTAAGAGAAAAAGTCTCATCGATCCAATTTATTTAACTGTTTGCAATAGTTAGCGTTTTTTTGTTGAGAATACATCATATTCGCTATTATTATAAATAGTTTGAGTAATTTAAAAACTTATCAAATGTTTTGAACATTCTTTGTATACAGGGAACAGTGTCTAAGGATTTATCTATGTAAATTGATTATAAGTAACCTAGTAAATAAACAGGCTTTCAATACATGCTGAGAATGATGAATTAGTCAGTCAGTTAGTTAGTTATACAGAACGTGGAACCACCTAACACACACATCAGTTACAAGTTCATACATCATACGCGTCAAGACAGTGAGATACCAGAGTAAGTAGTGGTGTATTAGTGGTAGTACAAAAACATTAAGGATAGATTTGACTCAGGGATGGAAATATGGATTCGTAGAATAAAATTTTTAAAACAAAGATCTAGTAAAAGACAATGATTGCATGCAACTGCACGATTGTGAAAATTCTGAAACAAGTCACATAACATCACCTACTGGTTACAGCAGATTCGTGAAGCCCTAACAAGGTAGTTTTGATATGGTTGAATGCTATTACAAGTTCATCTTACTCGGCAAACGGAACGAAGATCAACGATACAGTGATGTGATAGGCTATTCTAATCCGATTGTCCCAGGCTCTGCTAACTGGAGGAAGGTGTAGAGTATGTATTCTACAGGCACTCAGAAAATACGAGGTTGCTAAGCACGCAAATCAATCTTATCTATACAACGATAGAAACGCCCTTAGTAGAGCCACAAAATAGCGTACTAAAAGAATCCGTCAACCAACGACAGCCAGGGATCTTCCGAGTGGGAAATGTAAGCTGTAGGTCAACTAAGCGTCTCTTGGCATGAAAACATAAAAAAAAAATTCAAAATTTTAGAAATAAATTACAAAATTAAGGACCTTTTCCAAGTGAGTTCTTGGGATCGAACGTCCCCAACAAGTTCACATCTGTGTTACTATATTGTTCAGTTTATTAGTCAATAACTTTATATGCCAGGCTTTGATTTGAAAGTTCTAAAATATTAAATGAAGTCGTTGAAATTGTTTCGTTTCCTATTACTGGTTCAAGCATTGATGTAGAATAGTTCTAAAGAAACACTTTACATTTAAAAGGAGAGGATTGTATCCCAAATGTACTGAATTTGTTTTTAAAAGTTATAAGTAGACTATACTTAGTCAATGTCTACACCAGAAGGGATTATGTCACCTACTAGTTCTAAGTTAACAAGTCAGACTTGTAGTAAGAGGTCAATGTCTGAAAACTCCAAAGACGAAATCTTTATTTCTGTAAGAATGTTTATGAATTATTTGACAATGATCACTATTACTTTATAAGCATGTAAGCCATACGGTGTGTTTCTAAAAGTACAGTAAACACTAAAAATCACATTTCATCAAGCTTCAATATAAGTCAGTTTACTGTTGTTCTAAATACAAAAATTGGTTATATACTATTTACAACATGTTATCACTTTAGATTTTAGAAACTTTAAAGAGAAAAGAACTATTGAACAATTTTTATGTCAGTTTTAAATGGTTTAAATTAGGAAAAAATCAATTAAACTAGTAAACTGAGAGTAAATTCTCATGAATTTTTATTACTTTGTGATATGTATGTAAAGTTCAGAAATATTTTGGTAAACTTTCCTTTTTTCATGTCTTTTATTTATTTATTTGTTTGAAATGAAATAAAAATGACTGCGAGTCAGTCAGCTACAATTCAGAACTTTATACGTACGTATGCAGTTGCGTATACACAATTGCCATACCACATTAGTACAGAGTGATGTAATTGTCAATTCATATTTCATAGTGGTAGATGTACCAGAAATACTAACAGTAATGAAGAAGATTAGGGTTCAACGAAATATATAACCCAGTGAAATCAATCCACAAAGAGAAAGATATAAGTGATGAGGAATTCAGAATATTGGAATTTGAGACAAGACAAAGAGTGGATGCACTGGCGTCATTGCAAATAATTTTGAGCCATATCATCTAAAGCCTCGGTTACTATTGTCTTACGGACTCCAACCAGGTAGTTAGTCTACACTTACTGACATAACTCAGTCCACTTGTTGGTGATTTCATGGATTTGTATCGTGTTTTAGAAGTAATTTCAATGCTAATAAAGAAAGAGTACAATACATGAATTCATTCCATTCATCTTATGATTACCTGAAATGAAGCCATTGTACGACAATGTTGTGATGGTATCCAACCAGCATAGGCAGCATTTAAACGTGAATTTGTAGAGATTTTATTTGCACTTAATTGTGGATCATAGATAATATCATCTTCCCAATTTAATAATTGATATGGATAAAAATGATTTGGTGTATATAGTTCCTCAGAGCCTAATGGACGTGAACTATTTTTACCTAGTAAGAAAAAGAAAAGTGCAAAATAAGCAATATTATAAAGTAAATGTACAGTTAGTGGAACATTGTTCATTGAATATATACATATAACAAATGAGAAATCATGTCATTCAGTCAGTTAGTCAACAGCAACATAGAACTTCGTACGTACGTACGTACATCAGTTCAAGTCGCCATACCACATTAGCACCTAGCTGTTACGCCTGCACATAAACACGTCAACTTGATATGCTTGAACTATTACGAGTTTACCTAGTCGGGAAACGAGGGTGAGGATCGAGGATACGGCGACACAACATGCTACTCAAATCCGATTATCACAACCCCCATATTGAGTGAAAATAAGAAGACATGATATGAAGTAGAACGTCTATTCTACAAGCATTCAGAAAGTACGAGGTCCGAGTCCAGAAGAGAATCAGGATCCCGGACCAGGGATCCAGGACCGGGTCCTAATCCTGGTCGTGGTCATAAAACGTTACAGATAATGCGTATTTATACATTTTGGTCGAATAGGAAACAGCATCGAAGTCTGTAACATGAACAATCAGGACGACCAATAGGAAGTAACATTTGAAGTGACATTGATAGTCAGGACAACCAATAAGAAACAATATTGGAGCACGTGACATTGATATCTAGGACGACCATAAAACTGACCAGTAAGAATTAACCAATAGGAATTGACCAATAATTCTCTTAGGATATTGAACGAATATCCTAACACTAGCACAAGTAAGTTCTTAAGTAATAATTCACATAAAACTGTATCTTCTCAGATGAGAAATAGAACTTAATACTTGTCTAAAGCCGAACTAACTAAGAATAGGTGTAAACAGATGACTATTACTACTATTACGACTAATAATAATAGCAGTCACCATGGATAATCAATACATATCATGTGCCCTTTTCAAAGTTATTCATTTATAATCAACAATCAAACACTTACGCAGAGTTGGAGATGAACGAATTAATGATTCATTTGATAATTGTTGTTGATAACCAACACCACCATCAGGATCTTGTTTATTGCACCGCTGACCTGGTATACTTCCATTCAATAATGATTCATTGTCAATATGTTCTTTTTTAATCATTGAACAACAAGTGGATTCATTAGATGATACTGTTTCATTGACTAATTTATTTGTAGCTAAATTATGATCTTCATGTTTAGCATTTTCAGAAGAATGAAAAGTGATTGAATTGGAGGTATTGTTATTAGCAGTAGTGGTAGTAGTAGCAGTAGCAGTATTAGTAGTAGTAGTAGTAGTAATATTACAGGTATTACTGATAGATGTTAATGGTCGACGCCATTCTGTCCATTCAGAAATATTGATATCCAATGGTAAACCTAATTGATCATACCAATATTTTGCTGGTCCTAAACGCCAACCTAAATAACTAAATTTACAATTAAAACAATCACATTATACAATGAAATAAAGTTGTTTTATTATTCATAAAGATTTATAAATAGTTCTTGAGACTGAGAGAGAAAAAAGTCTGAATTGTTAGAACACTTTAAACATACTTGATTACAGCTTTAGTGGATTAAAAATATCATATCCCGATAACTGGTTGTAGGGTTCGTCACTAGGTACGCTTGAAGCTATTACGAGTTCACCTTAGTCGATAAACGCGAACGAGACAATGCACCAGCGTTCAGATAGGCTACCTTGAATCCCAAGCTGTAAACAGAAGGCTTGGTAAGCGTAGAATGTATATTCTGCAAACACCCAGCAATCACAATACAATCAAGCATACAACTCTCGTTTATTTATGCATCATAGAAACGTCCTTGGGACAGTCACAAGAATAGCACACTAAAATAATACACAGCAGCCAATCACAGTCATGGATTTTCCTGGTGAGAAATGCAATCTCAAGGTCAACTGATCAGCCCATGCTTGCAAACGTGAAATGCAAAATAAGGCATTTATCAAGCGAGTTTTGGGGATCTAACATCCCCAACACTGGTGGATATTTTAAACAAAGTTTTCCTCTAGATAACAGATCACCTAAAATCAACACCAGGGTACTTGTAAAAAGATGTTGTCGATAGTGTGATAAGACTAAAGAGAAAATCATAAATGACCATAGCGTTGTTGTTGATTTATAATTGATATGCTTGAACTATTACTAGTTCACCTTAGTCGGTAAACGAGAACGAAGACAAATGATCCAGTCACACAATAGGCTACTCTTATCTAAGTGTCCCAAGCGCCCACTAACGGTATCAAAATGTCTTGATATGGCGTCAGTCAGTCAGTTAGTCAGTTGCAACGTAGAACTCCGTACGTATGTACATACGTTCATGTTGCCATACCACATTAGCACAGTGACGCAAATGTCAAATCAAATCCCATAGTGATAAAGATAGTAGAGGTATTAATGGTAATGAAGAAGACTAGGGTTTGAAGATATTATTCAAGAAATATAATTCAGTGAGATAAGGTTAGAAAGACAAAGGTAGAGGTGCTGACGATTCCAGAAAATTAGGATTTGAGAGAGCTCAACGAATGGATGAACTTGCGCCATTGCAAACGATTTTGAGCAATGTCGTTCAAGGTCTCTAACCATTGGTGACTATCGTCTCGCGGACCCCAACCAGGTAGTCTACATCTACCAACATGACTCAGTCCTCTTGTCAGTGACTTCATAGATTTCTGCCATGTTTTGGTCTGACCGCCCCTAGCGTAGAAAGTATATTCTACAAGCACCCATAAAATATAAGGTTTTACAAGCACACAAATCGAATTTATTCATACATCATAGAAACGTTCTCGGGAGAGTCATAAAAATAACTTACTAAAATAATACATCAACCAATAACTATCAAGCATTTTCCAAGTGGGAAATATAACCTCAAGGTCAACTGGTCAGCCCATGCGCTTAAACATAAAATCCAAAATTATAACCTTTTATCAAGTGAATACTGAGGATCTAAATGTCTCTAACAATAATAAACATTATTTGATATTTAAGACAAGGTTAAAATCAATTTTTATCCATAAGTATAAGTAGAATGTATTCTCACTAGGCTTGAAATTGATAATCATGATAATAATAATAATAATAATAATCACTTACGTGTCTATATCATCATTAAGTTTCTCATTGAAATCATCTTGTTTATGCGTATCATTCAGTTCTAGTTGTTGTTGTTGTTGTTTTTGTGTAGATGATTTCTTTTTATGAATACCACCACTATCAGTGTGTTCATTGTTTTCAATTTTTTTCGGATTCATTAATTCATCCAGGGCATTTTTAAAAGCTCTACGCCACCATGAATGTTCACTACCTGCCAAATAATCTAACCCTGGCATTGGTGGCGTATTCAACTCAACTACTTCATCATGATAATGAATTTCTTCAGGTAAAGGAATTTCTCCAAGATCCAAAATTCCATCATATAAAAGATGTAAACTGTTGTTTGAAGAAAAATATGACAAGTTAGTTTTCGTTTGAATTAAAAGAAAAAATATTTTCTGTAGCTTAAGGTCAGTAAGTTTTTATGATACTTGGCTTACTGTTAGGATATTTATCCAATATCCTAAAAGAGTTATTGGTCAAATCCTATTGGTCGACTTCTATTGGTCAAAATTATGGTTGTTTTAACTGTCAAAGTCAAATACTTCAATGTTGTCTCTTATTGGTCATCCGGATTGTCAATGTCACAGACTTCGATGCCGTTTCTCATTCGACCAAAATGTATAAATACGCATTATCTGTAACGTTTTACGACCATGACCAGGACCAGGGCTCGGTCCAGGATCCCTAGTCAGGGATCATGATTCTCTTCTGGATTCGGACCTCGTACTTTCTGGATGCTTGTAGAATACAGGTTCTACTTCATATCATGTCTTCTTATTTTGGGATAATCGGATTTGAGTAGTATGTCGTGTCACCGGATCCTCGGTCCTCGCTCTCGTTTTCCGACTAAGGTAAACTCGTAATAGTTCAAGTATATCAAGTTGACGTGTTTACGTGCAGGCGTAACACTTACTGATCTAAACAGTTTAACTACAACATTTTCAGTAGAGTATGAATGGTACATCAGTTAGTCGTATTTCATATAGGCCTCGTAAAAATCACATTAAGACAAAATGAAATTAATAAGATGAATAGCAAAGAAATCAAAATCAGAAAGATTCAAAATTGAGAGTTTGGTTTGAGAAAAAAAGAAATTGAAAAGTATTTATTAAGGAATCTCTTAGAGCTACCTACAGATATAGAGGAAGAGTGAATGCATTTAAGTGATTGTGATCGATTCTGAGCCATGTCATCCAATGTTGTCAACCACTGATTGCGACTGTTACACAGACCCTGACCGGATAGTTTACATCTATTACACATGGTTCAGACCAGCGATCAATGGTTGCAGTATATATGGAGTTATGGAGATTAGTGTTTTTATACATTGAAATCATCAATCAATCATTTTTAGTCTACCATTAGAAACCTGGAGGCACTGGACGGTCGTTTCGTCTTGGTATGGGACTCATCAGCAGTGCACATCCAAGATCCCTACACCTCACAGGATTCAAACCCGGGACCTTCAGTTCTAAGCGCGAACGCCTAACCTCTGGACCACTAGGCCGGCATCCAACGGTGTTAATGTTTAACTCTGATTTTGGGCGACCTCACCCAATTGTCTACACCCGACAGGGATAAACTCCATTGGTTTTAAAATATGGAAGTAATGAACACTAGGTGATAATAATGAGTATGGAGATGAAGTGATGAAAAATTTTGGTGTGCAATTTTAATTAGACCAATTTCACATGGAGTTGACAATTTGTGAACAAAGGACTTGGTTTTTAGACCATAGGTTTGGGTGTTGCGTTAACTACTTATTTAACTTTAGGCAGTATGTATATCTAATGCAGAAAAAATAATTTTCCCGAAAACCTATCACACAAGAGTAGATTAACACTTTTGAATACGAAGTCGCCTGACAAGATGTTCTGGATTTAAGATGGATAAAGCTTCAAAATAGCCCGAAAACGAAAAAGAGTTTCGGTTCATCTCAAATTAAGAGCCTAATCAAGTTAAAGATAATGATAATAAATTTGTCAAAGTAGGATTTCATTAAGCATTTTCAAGAACTCAAAATAACTGCCAACCAGCATCCAAAGTTATAATTTTCAGTACACATGTTAAGAGAGTTTTATTGAATGGAGTGAAAACTTGGAAAACTACGAAAGTCATCATCCAAAAGATACGAGTGTTTAACAGTTGTAGACAGAAGAAATTGTAGATCCGTTGACCAGACATCATCAGTAACAACCTACTGTGGGAGAAAAAAACCAGATTCCAGGTTAGAGAGAAGTGATGGGGGTGGATAGGACACAATGCGGAAATCGTCCAACTGCACCACGTGGCAAGCCCTAACTTTGAACCGTCAGGGCGAAAGGAAAAGAGGTGGACCGAGGAATACACTGCACCGAGAATCGTCGGCAGATATAAAAAGAATGAACAGCAATTGGGTATAATTGGAAAGGAAAGCCCAGGATAGAGTTAACTGAAGAATGTTGGTCAGCGGCCTATGTTCCATTAGTGAGTAATGAAAGCGAGTGATATTATTTGTCTGTTACCAGCTGCTTATTGAATAAGTTAAATTTTAATTAGTTGATATGTTTTACGGTTCACCTAATTACTTGAAACCTGAAGACACTTCCAGTAATATACAAATCTGGTTAGTAAATAGACTCTTCAAGTATCTTACGAGTGTAGTGAACGAGAACACAGGTGGGGCAACAGGATTGTATTTAACGAAAATTACAGAGTTACTCAGTAAAATCGGAAAACCATATCGTAAATCGTTCATTTGCAAAATATCAGTTCATCATTTCGAACTGGACTGTTCCTGTTGCAAAACATCAATCGATTGTCACTATTCATGCGTTTCATACAAATTCCATGGTGTTCTAACTCTTCCTTTCTTGATCTTCCCCCTTCTTCTGCTGCCAGACATTACGTTGACACTCACGTCATATACTACTTATAAGTAGCTCACACCACACGAGTACTTTCAACAATAACTAAGAATCGATTATTTTTTTTCAGTGTTTGAAAGAAATCTCTTTACTTCAGTGTTTAGTTTATGCATAATGAGAAATGAAATATGAGTCGCCAGACAAAATAAACAGTTTAAGAAACTAAAGTAATTGATAGAAGAGATAACAGAATAAAACACAAGTTATATAACTTACCGATCACTTCGTGATGGTCTTTGTGACAGAATTTCTTCCATATAGTCATAATGCTCAATAAAATCATGATAAATACCTAGCTGATGTGGTAATTTGAATAAACGTCCCCATAAAGGTGTCTTTCCTGGATCATATGAAGGGAAAAGTTCTTTTATATCTACATTCATGTATTCTGGAGGCATAAGACTACCCAGTGGAGTGTTTAAAACATTATCTTGATTATGTGAAACAGTAGTGGTATAACTTGGACTTTTAACTGATTCTAAGTGACAACTAGAGGTTACCGGACTGGTGATTGGTGAATCAGCACTTCGTGAATAAACAGGCTATAAAAAAAATTAATAGGCAAGTTGTATTATCTTAGATGCTATCGATTCGGTAAATAACAAGTTTGAATAAAGAAAATAGTGAAGAACAATCATATATATATATATATATATATATATATATATATATATATATATATAATTCTGTTCCTTTTATATTCCCCTATAATTGTTAACATTACTATAACATTCGCTGAAAACAGTGATAGGTCTGAGACCATAACTCAATCACAAAATCATAGGCTTCTTTCATACTGTTCATATTCCAACGAGCACATAAAGTGAAGGAGTCGCAGTATATATCAGTGAACGGTGTGATTATTTGATATATTATCTTAGAAACTCCTATATCCAAACTACAGTGGAAGTATGCAAGTCTATCGCGAGCCATTCACTTAATTCAACTTGATCAATGTCCATCGACCATTTCAGGAAAAATCCTGCTGATATCCATAACTTCTCAAACGTGTGGGTTATTGATCAGAGCATACAGTTATCAACCAAACAATAGTTACTGCTAGTTTTATGCTAACTATAACCAAGTGATTAAGCTTCCCTCAATTTCTATTATGATATCTTCAGACAAAGAGAGTAAATACAAGTTGTTGTGGCAATGTTTGAGAGTATTGTAGTAAGGTTTATTGGTTAGCTCTTGTTAACTAGCCAACAGACAAATGCTTCGACTTACTAAAGTAAATAAACTGTATGAATCCATTAGAACTAACGAAATACGTATATAATGTTATGAATCTTAATACAATTTAATCAAACACGAAGCTTGAAAATGTGTACTGCTAAAATATACAAAAGAAGTAATCAAATACATTTTAACCTCATACCTTAATTTGATTTGAACGGGAAATTGAAAGAGGTGCTGGATGTAATGGTGGAGGCATAATAAGAGTTGTATCTTCAGAGACACTAATTTGAGCATAACCTGTCGGTTTGCTTGGTGAGACTGATTCAGTACATAGTGACAATGTGTCGTCTGTTTTAGGTTGACTATTCACTTCCATTATATCATTTCTATTTAGAGGTGATTCATTTGGGACTGATTCAATAGTCCCACTTCCAGGTGACGTATATCCCTCTTCTTTATGAGGTGACTTTGAATCCAAATCAATTGTCGGTGTTAAATTTTGTCCCGGTTCTGAATCAATTGAATCATAATCATCCTAAAAAAAAAGATTATACACTTAGTTTTCAATCGATTAATTAATTTCAATATTATGAATAGAAACTGAATTATTGAACTGGTTATGAGTATTATTCGAAGTATATACAACCTTAGCAATTCATGTAGTGATTGTTTGGATATTGCTACTGATGTTTAGAACTAAAAGTGGTCAGTCTCCTTTAGCATATGTGGATTCTATATAGACTGCCTTGATACTACCATTAAGTCATAAGGACTCTAAGCAGAAATGGAATGGTGCCTAGCAGTGGAATCCAGGATGCACAACTCGTCCTATCTGGGACTCTTCATTTGGATATACTTTCAAAAATTCCACAAATATTTTGTGTACACTGGGAACTAAGGTGTCAACAAATATTAAAGTTTATGACAACGGTTTCCACGTAGGTCATTTTCAAAAACAAACATTATAGATGATAGATTCATCACATAGTCATTAATACAAATGTCAGTGACCGCTAGATTAAGACGTTTCATTGATTTATGGAGGAGAACTATGTTTTTGAACTGGAATACAACGAAACGTGTAAGCGTCCTGGAGATATATGGCTCAATAATTTTGGTAGTGGCTAAAGAGCATCATATTTTATATTTTAAATATTGGGTAAAATAATATTATCTAATTCTTTTTTTTCTCCAACTTCCCTTGTTTTTTTTGAAACACATTTCCGAATTTTACTTACTTACTTACTTACGCCTGTTACCCCCAATGGAGCATAGGCCGCCCACCAGTTTTCTCCAACCAACTCTATCCTGGGCTTCTCTCTCCAGTTCTGTCCAATGTTTGTTCATTCCTCTCATATCTTTCTCTATTTCTCGGCGTAATGTATTCTTTGGCCTTCCTCTTTTCCTTTTGCCTTGAGGGTTCCATGTGAGGGCTTGTCTCGTGACGCTGTTAGGTGCTTTCCGCAATGTGTGTCCTATCCACTTCCACCGCTTCTTCTTGATTTCCTCCTCCACTGGAATCTGGTTTGTTCTCTCCCACAGTTTGTTGTTGCTGATGGTGTCTGGCCAACGAATACGAAGTATTTTGCGTAGACAACTGTTCATAAACACTTGTATCTTCTGGATGATGGATTTGGTAGTTCTCCATGTTTCCGCTCCATACAGTAGAACTGTCTTCACATTTGTATTGAAAACCCTTATTTTGATTTTGGTTGAAAGTTGTTTGGAGTTGCAGATATTTTTCAACTGTAGAAATGCAGCCCTTGCTTTGCCAATCCGTGCCCTCACATCTGCATCGGATCTACCTTGGTTGTCGATGATACTGCCCAGATATGTAAAGGTGTTAACGTCCTCCAAGGCATCTCCATCAAGAGTGATTTGGTATTTCCGAATTTTAGTTTCCTAATAATGATGATGATAGTAGTATTTACACTCCATTGTTTTTAGTCTTGTAAAATTTTTGACCACTGTGTTGAATCCTACACAGTTTAAAGATTCTGAGTGCTGAACCAGTCTTGTTTCCGAAAACTTCACCTACGAAGCTCATATATTCTCAATGAACTGAATGTAATTCGATACTACTACTACATGATTCGTTGCAACATCTGTATATATAACACACAAGTCAGGTTTTACTCAACGAACTGTAGTTGTGCACAAGTGATAAAAAATATGAAAGATAATACCAGCAATTGGTCTGTTATTTTCATCAAATATTCTATACTCATAATTAATGTCGGATATTCGGAAGCTTCATTGCATGCAACTAATTTATTGGGACCATTAGTTATGTAGGAATCCGTGACATATTACTGTAAAAAATCATATGGGATTTTATAATTGACTATCGATGTCGAGATACTTCGCCGAGGCTAGTTTCATTAACCGAGCCATTGTGTCCATGTTAGGCTTACTTACCACGAGAACAAGATAATCCAATATGTAAGATTACTTTACTTGCAACTGCCAAATTATATACAAGCATAAACCAGAAGTAAATGGCTTTATCAATTAGAAATGTAATACGCACAGCAAAATATTCTGAAATTTTGATATAAGGCGTATCATTTATCGTACTTTATTAGTGGATTCGTTTGACGATATGAACTCGGTGTACTCTAGTTCGCTTCGTGTACGAATACGAGTAGATGAATTACTTAACTAGATGCTCAACATCTTAAGTGTAAAAATCTCATCAGCTTTTGATGTAGGGTTGTGTTCAACAGTTTATTTACTAAAAATTCAGTTTTGAATACCCATTAGAGTTTTATAAAGCTCTGATAGACTATTGTTAACAACAATATAAAAGATTTTTTTTTAAAAATAGATACCTCTTCAATTTTTTCAGGCTTCATGTCGTATAAAACCTTCTCTACAACTTCTTCTGCCAAAGTTTCTTCTTCGTTATAGTAGTCTACTGGATTTGTATTGTTAATGGGCTGGACACTAGCATCATCTGACGATAGTGCAGGTATAGCATTGCTGTCAGAAAGCACATCTGAAGCAGCTTCTTCCACTTCTCTTACATGGCATCGGTCTAAATTATTTATAGATTTCAACTCAACATCATGTTGATATTCTTCAATTTGTCCTTCTTTGTTAACATTCCCAAAAAGAAAGCTAGAGATTTTATATTTTGGGCCATCTTCACCTGGTGAATTCTCTTCACCAGGCATGATGAAGAAACCTTAAATGAAAAATATCATTCTACAGTAAGTAAATCATACATCTACAGATAAACAGACACACAGTAATTTTCTACGTTTCATCTCTTAATTGACTCATGTTATCCTACTTATTAAAATCAACATTTGAATATAAATGGATAGACATTTAGTGTAAACTTCGTTTGATTGTTAAAAGTTACATATTCTCTGATAATTTCAATTTCGATTATTATTACCCTGAAGAAGTCCAGACAAGATAGCTGGATAGGACTTTGGAATTACCTGAAATTTCAATTTCTGAGATTATTTCAGATACAATTCTCACTTGAGGCTCAATTTTGTCAAACTATCCGCTCAAATATCGATGAATATTCTTATAAAATACACATTAATATATTGGTTAAACAGAAAATGTATTTAAGGTAGCGAAAACAGGCTAACTGATAAAGATAATACATCATATTGATGACTTTTTTAAAAAATACTAACAACGAAACGTTATCAGACCGAAATTTGGTGAAACAGATTCATACACACACTCTGAATAGATATAAATGATTAAAAACTGGAGTGTGAGCTGCTAACACTAGGAAGGCCTGTGTATGCATAGACAACGATAACATGGATGAGTTTTAAGTTTACAGTGCTAAAGTGCATATTACACCTTTTATCAAAGACTATGCTAATTAAAATCATTTTGATATAGTTATTAACTTGAGTGCGAGCCATACTCTACATGTGAGGGCTAGTGACTACACTTGGTTGCCCAAACAGGAGGTGGGGCAGGTCGTATACACGAAAGTGCGAATGATGGAATTATAGATTTATAATAACAATAGACTTCTTAATCAAGTATTACCCATGAAGGGTTATATCCACGACTATTATCATTCTTTGAGGACATCATTTCAATACCATGCATAACGTTGTTTAATACGTCCTTTTATCAAGTCCAATTCCCTAAGAATTAGGAGGATGGTATCGTTAGCAGTATATTTAGCTATGAGAAGAGACATTGTGTCTAATTACCGAATTTGTTGAGATACTTGAGAAAATGATTCAGGGTAAGTTACTTAGTTGGGTACAGTCATTTTATTTGTTCGCTTTAGAAGAATAAAGATTTCGGAATAGAGGTTTGTGCTTAACTAAGTTGCTGATTGCGAGACTAGACAGCTGCCCAAGGCAGTGGTTTGTGATATTCACAAATTTGGGCAACGTATTTGATAAGGTATTTCACTCACGGCTTAATCAAAAGCTTCTCAGCATCCGAATAACATGTATCAAACAAAAGTGGATAAGAAATTTCCTCAGTAGCCAAGGAGAAAGTGAGATCAGATGAGACACTAGAAATCGGTTAGAAGTAGCGTTCCCCAAGTCATAATCCTTACTTCCTATGATTTCTCATTTACGTTACTGAATTAACGAGACCACCTAAGATAACGAAATCTGTTTGCAAACATCATATTTGGAGGAACAATATGTAGTAAAGATGATTATTTTGATCTCCAAACTAACTTGAGCGAACTGGTTAGTGATTCCAAAGCTTGGGTTTAGAGAATAATTTCAGAAATAGTACACTAATGTACCTAAGACTCCGAGATGGTCATCAGAATACGATTAATGGAACGTCAATTCCACACATACAAGAACGAAAAGAACTAGAAATAGTAAGTTGCATGTTGAGAAACAACTACGAAATGCATTGCAGCAACTACCAGAGGTTTTTGAGTGCTACAGTCACCCTGCGGAACATTTAGATGCTCTGACAGAGATGTATTTTGGGTTTTATACTCCAAGGCAGACTCACATGGTATACTAGATCCAGATGATTATTTTACGTACTATTAGGTGTGGTAATACATTTAAGGGTGTTCAGCATGTAAAGCTTACGTTGGTGGCGAGTATTTGGAGACTGTTCCACAACGAGCGATCAAAAAGCTCTAATTTTTCCTTAAATTATCATGTGATGTGAGGTGACCATATGTTAGAATTCCGGATCTTAAAGACTGATTTGGCTATAATCGAATCTATTCTTTCTGATATTTCCATATGACATCAGCTCTAAAGCTATCACACCAAGCTCCATAAAATCACGATCGAGTGCCCATAAAAGGAGTATGCTTTTAGCATCAAGCGGTTAACGACCGGCCCAACATCAAACATCTTTTTCACGTGCTAATATAGAAAAATTGATATCTTTGCGCTCGATTCATTTTCTTTCGGTACGGTTCCAATGATGATATAAAACCATCTGCTTGAAAAAGTACTATTAATGATAATACACATTCTTCAAGGGGAAACTAAATTTTTACCGTAAAACGAGCTGTAAAGGTTAAACCGGGGCAAACAATCAAGAATTCATACTAAAGAAAACTGATGTACAAATTTTTTGCAAAGCTCAAATCGGTACGAATGGAAAAAGCCGAATCTTTAGACTTAGGTGTTGATTAAACGAGTCTTATTTAAAGATAAACTTGATTTTTAAGCTTATCCAGCAAACAAAACTCGAATCAGGGCCGGACTAACCTTGAATTTAATGAAGCCACAAAACAATATCCAATATCTTTGCTCAAAGTGAGAGCAAACTGAATGACTTATTTTCTCTTGTTTATTGCTTAAATCATACGCTCTTATTCGTTTAGAACATTCGGTTGGGGTAGCAAATTAAATTGGCTTCATCAGCTCCAATAAATCATAGAGCTGTTAATGAATTCGGCATCCGAAGTTTAGATCCAATATCCAATATCTTTTTCACGAGCTAGTATAAACCAGTTGATTTCTTTGCGCTCGATTCTTGTTCTTTCGGCACAGTTCCGGGTATTTGGTAGTGTCCAATGAATGGTGGTCTAGCCACACAACTCTCTAATTCTAGTCAGTTGGCAGTTGGTTGTGAGTATGTATGTCTCGGGATTTGAATGAGTACGTTTGTTTCAGGGCAGTAGGGCTCCTGGATACAAGCAGATATCACACTAGCAGACCGGAGATCAGTTAGTTGCAATGTGAAGAATAATAATGAAAAATTTCTAATGCTAATATAAGATTTTAGAACTAAGTAGTAAATGGATAATTTAGTTTATTATTTGGTAGTGAAGACTGTGCAGGAGGACCGAAGTCTAAGCAAGGGAGGGGAAACAGAGATAATAGGCGAGATAGATTCAGCAAGTGATCTGAGGAAATGGCAATGATAACTACTAGCAGGTCTCAAGAGGGAGATGACAATCCGTACGTGAGTATATGATTGTCATGTCTCTTCTTAAAGCTGCCCTCTGAGGGGGCTGTGGTCACCTCGGCTGGGAAAGCATTCCAAGGTGCGACTACTCTCAGTGAGAAAAAGTGTGCGCGAATCTGCGTATTCGCTCTTTGATGTGCAATTTTTCGAGGATCGCCTCGAGGAAAGAGGTGGTGATGCATGGGTAAAATGCTGACGTTGGTGTGGTTTGGCGTGTTACGTCCAGTTTTTTGCTCGTTGATCTTACGAAGCACTGTTGTCGACTATTTGTAATTCACGGTCCCAAATTTCTAAACCAAGAACGAAACTCCAAAGTAGATACCAAAGTTTATTCCAAATCACAAATTCGACCAAAATTCTTTATTACAAATAGACGACCAATGTCATTCTTCTAATTTATTAGCTCTTGGAGCAAAAAACTGCAAACGAACAACAAAGAGAAACGGGAGTCCAAAATGTCCGCAAATAATAATTCAAACAAGTTCACAAGTTAAGTAAAACAAATGTACCCAAAAACAGTGAAATTAATGATATTTATACATGAAGGTTTTGATCAGCAAAATGTCTTCGTTTCTCCCGTAACACTCCCGACCAAAAGAACCTTGGTTCTTTTCACCGACAAAAATATATAACAACAATCCAAGTATGTGCATCACAAGCAATCAACAACAAACATTCAATATAAATTCTACACCGGCCCACAATATCCCTCTAAGCAAAACAAGCCCTTTCTAACACTTCAATTTACGGTTCATTCTCATCCCCTAATCCACACCGGAAGAACGAGTAGGACTTACAGCAGTACGCCTACCCGCCCTCCAACATGGATATAACCTATCAAACTAACTATGTACCTGTACCTTAGATATCAGGTCCTTGATTCCCCTATCTATCGTAGCATGACCTAACGGTAGTATAAACCTTATCCAATTAACCCACACGAACATGTGCAACACGTCGTAAAGCTGGTCATATGCTCTTAGAGATTTACTTTCCACCTCATGGGGATGAGTCGTTAATCCACCACCCATTGCTCCAAACAGCAGATACGATGAAGCCCGTGATGCTGACTTATCAACAGAAGTTCTTGACCCATAGATAGTATGCAAGGGCGGGATCTCCGATTTTGACGTTTCCTCGTCTCCTGAAGACTCTAGGTGGCATAATATTGGAACAATATTCAACTCTCCATCTTCTGGTGCAGAGGTTGTTTGAACAGTATTCATCATCGTCGGTAACTCAGTTGTCACATCAGTGACATCCAGATTATTATCAACGTCATCATGATTCCGTTCTGTCAGACAAGTCGCGTCGACTCGGTCAGCATTAGCATCCGTTTCAGCGACACAAGACATATGCTCATCAATAGCATCGTCATCACCCAGCACTGTAGACTGGCTGTTAACATCAAACACTTTCTTCTCATCATCACTCGACTGACAGTCAACCGGAATAGGAACAGTTACAGTTGCACAACCTTGTGCATCTTCAATCAACTTAACCTCCGTGACGAGGTCCGATGACGTCGAAACACTAGGAGGCTCATTCGATGAAGTTGATAAACTAGTCACTATAAGTGGACTGCTGACACTTTCTATCTCCTTATTATCACTGTCACTACTAAGGTTCTGATGACTACTACTTCTATTGCTAGTCATAGCATCCGAAAGAGAACGAAGTTTACACTTCATAATAATAGTAGCATCATGTTGTTTCTTATGCTTCTTAGCTTGGGTGGCAGTATGCAAGCGTAACGTACGATCATTTCGACGACGATGAG